TGAAGAATGGGAAGGCAGCAGACCCTGCACCCAGGACACCCGGCACCTCCTCCCTGAGCCAGCTAGGTGCGTATTCGGATAGCGAGGATAGCAGCAGCAGCAACTGAGGCCCTTATCCAGGCCGAGGCTCATGTATCCAGCTCCAACTAGTGGTTTGGGCAAGAGGCCTTGGCACCAACCAGAGCACAGGCAGACAAAAATAAATGTCTTCTGAGGCTGGTGGGACCAGCCAGGGCTTCAGCTGAGGGACTCGGATTCTCTCCTTTCCCGTCAACCACCAATCCAAAGCAGCTCATACTACCCTCCACTTGGCACTAAGTTTAGGATTGCGACATCCCTGGAGGGATGCATTCTTTCTTGGACAGCCCTTGAGATGTTAGTCATGTTTTGGGCATGTGGGTGAGCCCACCACCCCCTCTGTTGGCTCCGTCCCTTTCCACCACAAAATTGTCTGGAACCAGTAAAAGGGACCACCAACACACACACAAGACTTTAGCTTGGGAATATTGCTGCCACTGGACATAATTCAAGTCAGTTCCTGCTTAAGGATACATTAAAATTCTAGACTTGTGAAGTATATATAGTAACTACAAATGGAAGACATTCTGGCTGTTTTCAGTTCACAATAGATAGAAATTCATTTTTCAAAGGATGGATTCTGAACTCCAATCCAAGCTACTGAAAAAAAGTATTTTCTGCTGTCTGCCCACCTTGAACACAGGGATGCTGTGGGAAGGGTGGAAAGCCATCACTCCCATGGACTCTGCTAGCAGATTTATTACAATGGATCCTTTCTTGGACTGTTTAATATAACAAATAAGACTCAGTCTGATTAATAAAGTTTCGTTAAGTGACCGTAAAGTTGGTCCTTACATCTTTGGGTTGTAATACTAATTAATGGTGTCTACAGTACTATTAAGCAGTGTGCATCTATGAGAATTCCACCAATGTATGTGAAGAGAGGTTCTCTTTGACCTTTTCACACTTTGTTAAAAACAGCTTTATGCTGTGCTAACCTCCAGTAATATCTCTGGTCTATGCCAGCCTGCTCTCTGAGCTGTTTTGCCACATAAAAATGACCCATTTTTTGAGCCCTGGTAACAGGCTAAGCATTGCTTATGAAACAGGTGACTTACCACATGCCATCACATATGGGTGAGTTGAAGAGGAATATACCAACATCACTTTGGTAAGTAATTCCTAACAAAATAACTTCTTTTTTAGTGTTTTATTTTGGTTTTTGTACAGAGAACCTTTTATATTCTAGGGGTGGTGGTGGTAGTGGTAAGTGTTGCCCCCTGAAACTGGTGATGGAGTCAGTGTGCTCCTCTCCCCTCCCAATGTGTAGCGACACCTCCCTGTACACAGTCAAAATCACTTTGTGGAATTTTAAGTTCTGTTGGTCTCTACAACCTTTATAGATGGAGGGTGCAGTTTTGAGAAAGAATGAATAAAATTGGATTCCTCTTAAACTGTAAAGAGAAAAGCCAGCCTTTGAGGGTAGCTTAAGGATCAAGCTGGCTTTAAGCTATACGTGAATGTAAAATTTGAGAAGAAAGACTTGAAGGTTAAACTCTTGGCATTCCCAACATTAAATTCTGAAGACATAAATAGACTAGCAGACAGCAGCTGGTCTGCCTTCCAGAAGAGAGCTATGTAAGGGGAAGATGGTGTTCGAACCAGCTGTAGCTGCAGGGTACAATGGCATAGGGCTCTGTCCCAGGACACTGCACCTAGCCATTCCACCTAGGTCCAATCTGGTTGGGCCACCTACTAAAAGTGACCTTGGGCAAGTTATTTAACCTTTCTATGCTTCATTCATTCAAACGATATTTATTAAGCAGCTACTCTGTGCCAGGCACTAAATTATGTGCTGGGGATATAATAGGGAACAAAACAGACAAAACTCCTTGCTCTTTTTGTGGGTGTGATGCTTCCAGGGTGATGGCAATAATGTTTCATGACCTGGATGCTGGTGACTTGGGTGGTGTTTGTAAAAATTCTTTGAACTGTATACACTTATGTGCACTTTTCTGTAGATGTATTTTACTTCAATAGTTTAAAAAAACCTATGGCCATGTAGCAATCACAGCTATATTAAATGAGCTGAGTAAAGCATGCAGAGCTGTGTGCTTGCCACAAAGTGCTCAAAGTGGCTTCTATTATTAATTCAGTGAAGCTCCTTACCTAGGCCATTGGTGGATGTTCTAGAGAGATTCAGCTGCCTCTGCCACAAGGATTAGTACACAGAGCCCTTCCATAAACCAGTTAGGCATGGATCATGCCTCTGTTGTGAAAAATGTGCTTTCTTTTTTTCAAGATCAAAATATAAGAGGAATTTTGTTAGCACTTAAAACCTAACTGATGTAGAGCTGCTGTTAACATTTGGATAGGTTGTGCACTGCACAAGGGCTCTGTATTTAAGGGACTGCCTGCCATTCATACCACAAACCTCATCGGTTTCGATATTTATTTTAACTTTCTGGCAGAAATCCTGGTGATCAAGTGTCTACTGTGAACAAAATTTGTATTACAACATCATTCTGACAGAAGTCAAATGTGTGAAGAGCACCATTTTCTACCTTGCAAAATGGTGCTGCACAGAAATACCACCCAGGGGCTTGGAAGCAGAGCGGAGTCAGCCTCCTAGAGCTGCCCTTTAAAATAAACAGAGGCCCAATCCCTAAGACTCGACTGTTTGGGCCTATGGTTGTTTTAATCATTAAATTGGAACAAACCGGCCTTACCCTTTGTCTATCAGCCTTTGTGATTTTGGAAGATGGATGTCTCCAACTGAGACAGATCCTCTCTGGGTCCTGACAAGTCATGTTTCTGAGGATAAGACCCTAACAGTGTGACTTCAGTGAAGCCCTGCGCCTCCTCAGCGCAGCACTCCAAGCTTCCCCTGGTGAGGTGGGTTATAGCTGGCCACATCCTAATAACCGCGAGAGATCTTTAAGTGTGCCAGCTCCTACATCTCCAACCCAGCAAATCTGAGGTGGGCTCAGACATCTGCATGTTAACAAGCATTCCAGGCAACTCGTGTCCAGGTGAGTGCAGGAAACCCTATTAGAATAGGGTTTCTAAGAAGGAGGCTGAGATCAGGTTAACGAGTTCAGGCAGTCACTTTATGGAGGGAAGGGGCGTGGGAAAGTATTCAGGTTCAAAAAGGCTTACATGTGTGATCTGGAGAGGAGAAAAAACAAAACCTGGCAGGCTGCAGCCTGCCTAATGCCTTTTGTACGCGGGGCTGGGGAAGAAGCTGCCTGATGGAGTGCTGGTGAGTGCGCAACGTGCCGGCCCTGGAGGGGCTGGGAGGAGGGAGAGGGCTCTCATCACAGGGTGGCCACAGGTCAAAGAGCAAATCAAGTCACATCGCTTTCTGCCCTCTGGTCTGGGCCTGGCATGGGATTGGGCCACTGGGCCAACACCCCAGTAAGGGGATAGGTCTTTGCCTCTTCCTACTCTAAGGATCAATAAAGCTCTGGGGACAGACGTAAGCCAGGCACTGAAGTGTTATGGGTTCAGGTGAGTGACAGAATGGGCGAATGAGACTAGCTGTCAAATCCTAGACAGCTCAGGGGGTTGCAGAAGGTTCTCCAGCCCTGGGTTCCTGCCCCCAACCCTACCCCCAGTCATTTGCTATGCTCAGAACGAAGTTGAGGATGGGATCCCACAGCCCTTCTGACAAGTGAGTCCTGGAAATGAGGCAGTGGGTGGCCAGACCAAAAAAATGATCCTCCCTCAAGGACCTGTTCTAAGCAGGTGGGCTGGGCAGGAATGCTTCAATCCCCACAACCTACTGTTGAGAGTGTACATGTCCCCCCTTTTGTGTCAGACCCCCCCCCAGCTTATGTAAGCTCCCTGCAGAGAAAGCTCAAAAACAAGACCCACCCAGTACTCATCATACAGTCTGTTAGAGCAAACAACGGTTAACAGAGGCCTGCCGGCTTTTTGACATATTAACATTAAAATCATGTCTTTTTGAAAGTGGGGCAGGGGATGGGGGGAGCACCTATTCTACTGGGCAGTTTGTCCCACTGTCTATGGTCTTGGCTACCCCAAATTGGGGAAGGGGAAGGGCTGAGCCTAAGCTATGAGGGGGCTTCTTACCCCAGAGCTGAAGAATCGGGGGCACTTCAGCAGTACACCCCCTCCTGCCCCCTGGGCCCAGCCAGGCAGTGTGAGTGCGTGCGGGGGACCTGACAGGGACTCTATGCCGGCGGCACCCTCCACCAAGCCCGCCTTCCAAGAAGCAACAGCTGCTTCCTATTTTCCTTCTAAAAGAGGCTTGTTGGTAGCGGTCGGTTAAGGCCAAGAATCCAGACCAGACCAGTTCCACGTGAATCACACTGCCCATGCCAGGTGTTGGCGCCCTGGCAGCTGCACACTTACTAACAAAAGGACTTTGGGCATGTACCTTGACTTGAGCCTGTTTCCTTTTCTACAGCATGAGGTTAACAGCACCCAGCCCACAAGTGCATGGCTGGGCTACAGGAGAGCACTTTGAATAGGGCAGTCGTCACTGCTGCTGCTGCTGACCGCCCGGATCCCTACCGTCAGGGCAGGCCGGACAGGTGCCTGAATCCCACCCCTTCTCCCGAGGCCAGCCTTCCGGCCCCCGGCCCCCCGCCCCCAGGGAACATGACGTAACCAGCTGTTGGGGGACTGGGGTGTCCTCTCCTTTAGGGTCCAGGAACAACAGCTAGAGCAGAGCAATCAATCAGGGAACAAGGTTCAAGACCAACAGGCAGGGCCAGGTGGAGGTGGGAATGGGGCAAGAGCTAGCGGAGTCACCAATAAACTACAGAACAAATGGGAAAGCCCTGGGGGAGAGAGGAGAGGCAGGTGCCCAGGGCACAAGTGAGGGCCCGCCTGGCCTGGGGAGCTCAGCGAGACCAAGGGTGGCTGCGGGGAGGGGCCAGGGCATTTTGCTGGGCCTCACTCCGTGCTCACTCTTCATCCCAAAATGGCCCAGGCTCTCCCCATCCTCAACCCCCAAGGCTTGGAAGGTGAGGGGCAGAGAAGAGCAACAGGGGACTCCAGGCCCCTGTGAGGGGCTGAAGGTGACTCAGAAATCAGAACAAAAAAGGCCAAAAGGTTTTTACTCTGTGAACCCTGGGGAGGATCAGGCAGAGCACAAGGTGTCCACAGGAGGGTGAGCAGAGAGGAGGAGCTGGGGCCTGTAGTCTTGTCTGCCTGCGGGGGCAGGAGTGAGGGGAGATGAAGGCCAGGTGTGCCCTCCCCTCAGGCTCCAGAGGGCTCCAGTCCTGGGACCCAGCAACACCCGCCCCCCCTGAATTCACTCTGGAGTCCCCAGCAGTCCTGAAATCGCACGGCCTGCCTGAAGCCTTGACAGGACAGAAATGCTTGCCAGAGAGAAAAGGCTGGCGCGGGCTGACGGCAGCTGATACGAGTTCTTCCCAGGGTTGTGTCTTTCCCCGACGAGAAGAAGACATAGCGGAGCAGGGAGGACCGGAGGCCGGATGGTCTGTCTTCGCCTGCCAGAGCCAGGCCCCCGGAGTCTTCAACTCCCACGCCAGGGGCCTTGGTTCAGGGGATGCTGGGTTAGGCTCAAAGCTCATCGGGGGGGCTGTGTGTGAGGGGAGACGCCTTCTGGATGCCCTCATCCTCCTCGGGGCTGGGATCTTCCTCAAGGTCACCCAGCTCCTTCCTCTGTTTGCTGCTGCCGCCCCCAGATGCCTTGGCCCTGTTGCTCTTCTTCTTGGACTTCTTTCCTCCCAGGGTGGCTGTGTCGCCCTTCTTGCCAGACCACTTCTCTGCTAGGCAACCTGGGCGAGGAGGAGAGACACCCTCAGCAGACTGGCTTCCTGGGAGAGGAGCACTGCTCGGGAGCCACTGGGAGTAGTAACTGGAGTCGGTGCCCGATGTCCCTACTCCCACCTCACTGTGGCCCCCAGGCCTCTCTGGGGGCACCTGAGTTCTCCACAAGTTACTCTGCACCTGGTGTTAGTGCCTCTCACCCCACCCTGTCACATCAAGCTCCTTGAAAGCAGAGATCCTATGACAAACTCCATGCCTTCTTTCTTTCCCATCCTCTGCCAACCTACCTCCCCTGAAGGAAAGCAAACAATAAAATGGAAGGCGAGCCCACCCTGCCTCCTCCCTCCCTCAGACTCACTGGTGTCCTTGCCCTTTAACACATGGTTGGCGCAGAGGAATTGGGTCAGGTCTTCCTCCTGGTGGTTTCTGTACCAGTCCTCAATCACCTCCTCAAACTCTTCCACCAGCACGTCGCACTGTTGATCACAATACCTCGAATTGGCAAAGCCCCAGCACCGACTCACTTCCAGAGCTCTGCTGAGCCTCACAACCCACCGCAAGGCAGGCAGGTGGCTGTGATGATCCCAAGGAAACTGAAGCCAGGCAGGTGAAAGGAGCAAAGTCCTTCAACTCTTGGTGGCCTTCCTCAGCAGCAGAACCAATCCCCACCCATCCCTGCGGGGCCCACCCACCCCTGAGGGCCGAAGGGCCTGTACCTGCTTCTTGAGGTCAGCCACTTCTGCAGAGGTCTCGTTCCACAGCTCATAGGGGATGTCCATCACCACCTTGACCCCCTTGTGTACCAGGTTGTGTAGGGTCTCAAAAGTCTCTGACATGCCCTGGAGGAGGCGACAGATGTGAGAGGCAGAGTCGCCCCTCTGCCTCCTGCCCTCCTCTCCTGGGGGTGTCGGAGGCCCCAGGACCTAGCTCCGAGAGGTCACGACCCTCTAGGCTTCTCACGCTTGACCTCACCTTCCTCTCCCCTCTTTTAGGCCTACCTCCCCTAACCCCTACACACAAACACCCACACCCTGTCCCGCCTCCCCGCACCTCATCCTTTCCAAATGATCTGCTGTTGCCCTCAGGCCCTTTGAACGGGTACTCCCTTTCCAGGAAATGTTTGTCTCGGCTCTTCTTCACTCTGGCTGGGCACACTCACTCCCCCACACCCAGGCCCACTCCCTGCCGCGGGTTCTTCAAAGGGCTTGTGTCTTTCCTCGGTGGGAAAAGGGGGCAGGCAAGGCAAGAGAGACTCTTTGTTCTACAAAAAATATTTCTGCCAGCTACCTAGGTTTCTCTCTGGAGACAACATACTCTGTCTTTCCAGAGATAATGTGTACAAATGCATCCTCCTCTCCTCTGCCCCCACCTTTTACACAAGCAGCGATGTAGATCATTATTACACACTCTGCCTTTTTTAAGATTTTATAATACACCTTAGAGATAATTTCAGTTCAGTTTGTGAAGAGTTACCTCATTCTTTGTTTTTCAGTTGTGTAATAATCCATTCAATAGCCACATCTATTAAATTTATTTACCACTCCCCCTACAGGTGAATGGTTAGGTTGTTTCTAATTTTCTTGTTACGGAAAATAACTTTAAAATTTTACATTAAAGCAAACATGAATTTATTTCCAACTAGGGTACAAAATGCAGAAAAATTTTAAAGGTAAAACCTAAGACTTCTGCTGCTTGACACTAAAAACAAAGACTTCTGCCTCTGGAAACCTCTCCATGCCCCCAGGGGTTTCTGACTCATCTCCTTTGCTAGGAAGGTGCTTAGGTGGAGAAATGTGCCAGGCACTGCAGACACAGAGGCAAAGAAATGCGAGCCTTGTGGTAAAAAGCCCACTCTCCGGGGGGAGAAGCGTTCATGCACACGGTAAGTGCCTTCCATGTCACAGAGGCACCCCGATGGAGGCCGAGGCCGGTGCTCTGTGGGCCCAGAGGCGGGACAGGGTAATCACCACCCTTTAAGAGTCTTCTGACATCTCCAAACCCCTACATCCTGATGTCTCCCTGCGCGAGTGCTTTTGATCCTCCTGGGGGCTGCGCCTGGGAGTGTTTCTGCCGTCTGAGACTGAAGCAGGACCCTGAAGGGCGAGCCCAGGCCATTATGAATGTGCCCACTGCCATGGAAGAGTCGGGCCATCCAGGAGAGGAGTGCAAACAGCAATCCGCAAAGAATGGGACGAAGCCAAGGAGGGAAGCTCCTAGGGCAGGATCTTTAAATCGCACCCCCGCCAACAGACACACTCAGCCACCTCAGCCACGTGCAGGCTGGGCCCAGCAGGAGGAAGGACAAGACAGTCCCACCTTGGCAAACCGGTTGCTGCCAGTCCGCTCCTTGTGTAGGCTGTAGTCCAGGAGCCGTTTGCAAATGGTCTCAGTGACTTCGATTAATCGCAAGTCCCTGCCGAGACAGCAGCGCAAGCGGGGCTGAGTCCCCCTCCCAGCCCCGTGGGTCAGCGGTCCGTCCCTCCAGCCCTGCTACCCCAACACCTGCGAATCTCACCAATGGGAAGTCAGAGCTGGAAGGAAGATAGGTCATCTGGTCTGGGTGCTCTGAATGCTGGAACACAGACCAGAGAGACAAAATTTTAACAGCTCTACTGGAAGAAATTTTTTTTTTATAAAGCTCAATGAGTCAGTAGATTTTTTTTTAAAAAGCAAAATGTATAAAAGTTTGATGTTAAAATGTTTCATTTTGAAAGGATGATCACAGCTGATGGAAGTTTTTGTTTTTTAAAAATATTTATACCTGGCAAAATTAAAAGTTGGTAATCCTATGTGACCAACATTTTAAAAATTGCATTGGTCCATGAAATCCAAGAGTTTGGGAATCACTGATAAGGTCCAACAGTCCTGAAGCCCAGAGAGGTTAAGGGATTTAGGAAGGCCACCCAATTAGCTCAGGGTAGAACCAGTGTGCAAATTGAGGTCTCAGTGAGAGCTGCCTCCCTTTGGTGGGCTTGCCTGGCTAGAAGGGAGAAAGGAACTGCAAGCTGCTGAAGCCTTGAGGAACAAAGCAGGCCCGGCCTGTGGGTCCACATTCACTTACGACTTGGTGTATTTGACGCCGGAAGCCTTTCGATCCAGGATGCCATAGCCTGTGTCAATGACCTCCTTGGTCTTGCCAGTTTCCTCAAAGGCTGACTTCAGCTCCACAGCGACGTATTTACACACTGAGGGAGGGAGACACAGCACAGCCTACTGAGTACACGTGTCTGTTGGCAGCCAGCTCCCAGCAAGACAGACTCCAGTGGATGCCTCTCCCAGAATGGGCTGAGTCAGTGCTCAGGGCAGAGAAGGAGTTCACTGGGTGAAACTTGGCCTCAAGATCCACGGTCCCATCCACGCTTGGCCCTTATCCCACACTGACTGCATTTCACCCAGCTCCATCCTGCTCCTCTACTCCCCACCATTTTTACTTTAAACATTTTTTAACATATAGAAAAGCTGAAAGACTACAATGAATATATACCTTCCATTCATATTCCACCATGGCTGATGGCTTACCAACAGCTCTCTCTAATATATAACATAAAACAAAGTGATAATATATCAACAATATACGGGGTGGGCAAAAGGAGATTTACAGTTTTAACCAAAAAAAACACAAGAATAACTGTTTTGCATACTCACAACTGTAAACCTACTTTTGCCCATGCCTGTATACATGGCTTCTGCTAAACCATTTTGAAAGTTTCAGACATCATCATCTTTCACCCATAAATAAGTCACACGCATTTTCTGAGAACAAGGATCTTCTCCTACCTAACCATGAAACAATTTTGATACTTGGAAAATTAACGATAATTCCAAGATCATCCAATACTTAGTCTATATTCAAATTTCCCCAATTGTCCCCCAAATACCTTTTAAGACTGTTTTGTCACTGGATTTCATATGTTGTGACAACCCCAGCTCTCTATTCCTGCAAAGTTAATTTGTTCAGTTCCTTCCAGAGGCCTTGTTTCTACTGTTTCTATACATTTATCTCCTTATTTCCTTTTCCTCTTCCTCCAATAATGATTAAGCAACTCCTGTGTGTCAGGCACTGCTTGGGAATACAGAAATAAAAACAAGGCTGCACCCTTCCAGACACTCAGTCTAATGGAGCAGAAAGAAGTATAAACAAATAATTTTCACTGCATAAGGGGTGCTACCACTGAGGTGTGAGGTGCCTCAGGCCTTAGGAAAGTGCTTATTGCCCTCTAGGGCCTTTGGGTTTTTTTTTCCCATTCTCCCAACCTCACCATAAAAGCCTTTTCCCCTGGAAGCCTTTCTGGCCTAATCTCACTTGCTCTTAACTTCATTCTGGGACTGGACAGAAACTAAGGGCCCTTGGTCATTTCATGTGTCCCTACAGGTAGACTACAAGAGTACCCAAAGTGAGTATCATGTCCTGGATTTCTTCTGTATTCCTCCAGTCTGGGACTCTGTATGTGTTAGACACATGATGAATATTGCTGAGAGAGACGGTGTTTGTGGTTGAGTAGTTTCTGATGTGTCTGAATAGAATATGGTCTGCAGATTAAATGCCATCAGCGTTGTTATAACACTAACAGCAGAGTTTGGTAGAAAATCAATTTACCACCAAAATGAATACATCCCCTGGAAGCTTGCTTGGTGAAATTTTGTAACATATTCACTACTAGATGGCTTGGAGAAATTGGAATACACGAAAATTCCAAAATATAAGCTGGTGATTTCAGAGCCCAAGATGAACTGAGGGCGTCTCATCTCCCTGGCTCTCCATCCAGGACCATCTGGGCTCCCTCCCCACTTCTGTCCTATACTCTGCGCAAGGCCGCCATTTCCCTGGCTCCTCTGCCCCTCCTTCCATACTCTCAACAAGTAGTATCCCAGGCCCAGGAGGTCGGAACCCATCAATGCATCTCTTACACTCATCAGCCACACCTTGCTTCTCACTTCTTCCTAACCTTACCTCTTCAAGACTCCGCCTGGGAATCCCACCCAGAATCAGACTTGGAGGAGACTTATGGTACAGACACCAGACCCTCACGGACATCCACCTACTATTTTTCTGGGCAAGGTCTCCCTCCTTTGTGCCAAAGCCTGTTTCAGTCAGGCTACTGAGCCAGGAGGCAGGCTTTGTGGGCCAGAGGCAGTCAGCGTTTAATAACAAAGGTATAATAATGATAAAGAAAAGCAAATACACTATTAAGAGAAGCCTAAGGGTTGGAGTTTGTCGAGCTATTCTGTGACTGCAAATCCCTTTTAAAGTAATCTTTATCAGTTACCTCTGAAATAAGGTTGGACAAGAATGATCTCAAAGATCCTTGCCAGCTCTATTCTTCAATGAGTCTGTGAATGCTTCTAAGAAAAAGAAATGTGAGTTTCTTAGGCTATGAGAATATGAGGTTAACAGTAGGGTCTCTTTGGTATGAGAATAAAATAGAAAACAGAACGGAGGAAGTGAAACCTCCAAAGGTTGCCGTTTAGGACTAGAGGAAGAGTAAAAGGAAAGCGTAACCTTCTGACCGCCTATTCAAGGGACAGACGGAGAAGATATAGGCTGGACTGCACACTGGGGGACCTACCAGTGAATTGGCCCAGCTCTGAAGCATCTCACCTTAATCTCTCAAATGGAAGGATTATGTGTCCTTAACCACCCCACCACCACTTCCCAGTTCTTAGGGAACATCTGGCCTGTGGTAGGCTTTGAACTGGGGTGAAACAGAGTTATAGCCAACTTGCTGGATGGCCTAGGGTTAGGGAGGTAGGAAGGAAGGAATAACTGTAAAGGCCTGAGGAGAAATGGAGGGGAGGAAGGAAAGGTAGGCCTGACTTGGCCTGATAGCTCAGTTGGTTAGAGCATCATCCTGATACGTCAAGCTTGCGGGTTTGATCCCCGGTCAGGGCACATACAAGAAGCAACCAGTGAATGGGTGAATAAAAGAAACAAGAAATCGATGTTTCTCTCTCTCCCTTCCCCTCTCTCTCTCTAAAAATCAATCAATAGAAAAGGCAGGCCCCTTGATAGTCCTGGATCGCTGCTTTGTGTGCTAGCACTCTTCTCTTTCTCTCTCCTCTCTCCTCTCTCTCTCTCTCCCCCCTCACCCCTTTTGTCATTGGGATGTTCTGGTTTTCCATATTCCTAAAATCTCCCTCCCTCACCAAGTTCTCCCAGGTTCTATTTTTCTCCTAAAGTTACCCTTAGGCTTCAGACCCTCCTCCTTCCTCCACACACATCCACAGCCTTCCGTGTATTTATATTTATTCAAGAAATACCTGAGAGGAGGTCCCTGTTTTCAAGCAGCTCAAAGCTAGTGATGGAGACAGCTAATTACACAAATCAGGTTTCGGTGAGGACACAAAGGGGAGAGTCTCAGGTTCTCCTTCTCCTCACACCAGTCATATGACTCTTTTCAGTTCCTCAAAGTTGGCCTTTCCATTTGTGGTTTCCTGAGCGGGACCCTCCCTTTTTACTTCTCTGCACCCGGCTAACTCCTACTCTTGTGCTTCCTGTACCCAGCCTTTCCCCCCATCTCTGTGAGAGGCTGGACTAGTGCTCCTCACTCGCCCCCCTTGTACCTCGTCTATCACGGTATCTACTACCCTGAGGAATAACTGCTTGTTTTTTACAGATCTATGAGCTCCAGGTGCACCGAGACCTGATCTCTCGCCTGGCCCTGTATCCCCAGCGTCCCGCACAGAACCACGCACATAGTAGGTTCAATGAATGGAGAGACTTCAGCTCGGGAGTCAGCACCTTCCCCCCGAGTCTTCTCCGTAAGCCCTGCCTCTCCCGCAAGACACTCCCGTGGGCCCCGCCCCTTCACCTTCGCATTTGCTGGGCAGGCGAACCCAGTCGGTCTCCTCGGCTTGGGCCTGGCTCGGGCCCAGCTCCGGGATGGACAGTTGCAGCAGCAGGGGGAGAAGCAGAAGCCGAAGCCAGCGGGTCCCAGGCTGGGGGGCGGGCTCAAGCAATGGTTCCATGGTCCAGCTGGACCCGACCCGGAGGGCTGCGATTCCCACGGCTGCGCGTGCAGGGTGGCTTCTCGGAGCCGCTTCCGGGACTGCACACGTGCCTCGGCTTAACCCGGGCACCAGCGAGCCCCCGGCCCGCTCCCTCCTCCTCCCCCTCCGGCCGCCTCGGCCCGCCCCCGCAGCCGACGAAGGCCCGCGGACTGAGCAGCCAATGGGCTTTTCGGAGTTCGCCCTTTAGCAAATGGGAGGATGATCTTTTTTCGGTTTGGACCAATAAAAGAGCGGATGGTGTCTTCAGTGACCAATGGCAACATCTTCTCCCTCCCTGTAACGGAGTCTCTGGGAGGGGCTGGGGGACTAGGACAGCGGGAGAGGAAGCAGCCAGCTGGGCCGGAGTCGGCGGGGGTGGGGCATGCTGGTCCTAGAAGACGTGGGAAAGGCCGTCTTCATTGCCTTCTCCGCCTCCTTTCACGTCACTTCCCGGCTAGGGTCATAATGCAGCGAAAGCTCTTACTGATCACCACTTTTTAAATTTTATTATTACTGTTCTAATTGCCAGCCAGTCTAGTAGGCGCCGTGGGTGAGACTAGGACGACTCAAACAGCCTTCAGCCTTTAAACAGCTTTCTTAGTGCCCAAGAACCCTAGATTTGTCCCAGTGAGAACTAGAACACATTACTTCCTATCTGAGCCTCAGTTCCTAGCTGTATGATGACCACGTAAGTGATCCTTCCAGAAGCTATTCAAGGCTTGCATGTTGCTCGGAAGTTCAAGTAGCATAATGGAGTTAAAGCTAATCGAGCAGATAGTAAAAAGTTCATGCGTTAATTTTCTTTGTAGCTTGTAACCTTAGTCCTTTAATGCTCTATTATTTATTTCTTTGGATTCTGAGCTCCCAGAAGTTAGGGACCTAACTTACTAATACCTAGGCCCAGGGACCCTCCTGGAAAATAACAGGAAGCCAGTTTCAGTGGGGATTTAGAATCTGAAGCAGGGCAGGATTGGGGGAATTGGGACAAATGGAGAGGGGTATTGAAGCTAAGGGAAGCCCTGCTTCCAGAATGAGAAGACATTTACCGAGTCAAGAAGCTCAGTGGTGATGACTGGATAGTCTGGGGCTACGACTGGACATGCCCCCTCCCTGACCCAGCCTATGCCCTTCTCAGTGTGAGTGTTGGGGAAGGAGCAGGTCCTGTGGGTGTGGTGGACAGATTCATCCCCAGAGGTTGCAGGACACTCCCCCCACCCCCCGCAAATAATCCAAAAAGAGGTGGGAGAATCTTCTTACAGGTTGGTGAGATGTGCACAGTGGAGGAGACAGTGAGGGTTTTCATGGACCAGCAGCTGAGGGCACAGAAGCTCACGGAAGGTGGAAGTGTCATTGATACCATATGGGGGGGGGGGCAGTGTTAGAGCATAGTTCTCTGCCTGTACCTTGGGGGAAGACCAAGGTAGCACCGTGTTGCACCCAACAGATGTCTTGTGCTGCTCAGAGGACATCTAGATTCACATGAAAGCACCCAGAGATTTTTGGGCTGGTTACTGAGAGGAACCTCTGGATTTCCTGGCAGTACTGGAGAAACGTGACACACAGGTTACCTCCACTATGCGATCCTCAAATCAGTGCAAGAACCCTCTTTAGGAAGCAAAACAAAACAACAAACCTCTGTAGTGCTGGGCTCAGAGTTGATGTTCAATGAATGTTTGTGAAATGAATAATAACCCTTAATTGATTCATAATGTGTAAGTTTGGAATTACCATCAGAGCTCTTGGTATTGGACAGACTCCCGTTACTCTGGGATCCTGGCCCTGTTCATGGGTTCCTGGGCTCCTTGCCCTGACCTCTCACAGACGTTGGGCCAGCATAAGGAGACAGAGAAGGAGCCTGGCCCCATACCTGGCTGCAGGGCAAGGAGACAAAGGTGGGACAGTGTCCTCCCCAAACCCCGAGCCCCACTGCAATTCCCAGGGTCTTGCCCTCAGTAAGCCCTCTTCCTCAGGCCAGCCTTCCCAGGTTTCTGCCCCCTCTAAATCTGCTAAATTCCCTCCTCCAAGAGGAGATATGAATTAAAATACGTGTTTTTCATTTGCTTGTGTCACTTAAATTCTCCTTTAATAGTCCTCAGTTATCTGCACTTCAGATCCCAGGGCTTGGGTTTGTCACCACCCTCAAGGGGCTCCCAGTCTGATGGAAGGCACGCAGCCTTTTCCCTCAGAAGGGCCTTGGTCGAAGGTGGAGGCAGCCTCGCCCCCAGGAAGCTCCGGGCTGCAGGAGGAGGCAGGTCAGACACAGCCGGGATCGTGGGCGCGGGTCCTGAGCACCGGGCCCAGGCTGGGTGGATGGAGAGCGCCCCCTCCTCCCAGCCTGAGCTCCTGCTGGAATCTGGACGCGGAATGGGAGGGTGGGTGTGAACCGCGTGGCCGGCCCGGGGTTGTCCTTGACCTGTGATTCCCCTCTCATTGCAGCGACTCCAGTTGCTGGGGGCGCCGGGCTCTGCTAGTGGCCGAGGCTGCGGGCCTGGGGCCGGCGCGGAGATGCCGGGGTCCAGCAGGCGAGTCTCCCCAGCCGAGTGCCCCAGCGCAGCGGGCGGGGTGCGGAGGTGTCTGCAGGTCAGGAGCAGGTCAAACAGCAGCAGCTTGAAGAGCAGCAGCCGCAGCGCCCCCAGCCGCAGCGCCTGGCCGGGCATCCCTGCGGGAGTGGGGAGAAGGAGAGGCTGGGAGGCTGGGAGCTCCTCATGCATCTGCCGCCCCCAGAGCTCACCCGAGAAGAGGGGCCTTGTCTTCTGCCCTTGCCATTCCTCCTCTGTCATCCCCCAAATTCAGGGAAAGGCTTTCCTGGTGTCTAACCTCAGCTGTTACTGGTAATAATAACAAATACCTGCCTAGCCTTTTATTTTATTTTATTCCCCAAAACCAGGGAGATGTAGGCCAGGCAGGAATCAGCATCCGGTGCAGAGAGGAACTAGCTCAAAGGTCTTATTTGGTCAGGAAGAGAGCCTGACTGGTGACTCTCCGTCCGGCAGGTGGTGGGACTTTCGACCGCCCGGTCTCCCAGGTCTCCCAGGTCTCCCAAGGCTCCAAAGGCTCTCAGTGCTCCCAAGGCTCTGATCTGAGACCGTTCATCTAGGCTGTCCAAGGAGACTTTCAAGAACCCTTCTGTCAGCTCTCACCTGCGCTTCTCAACTGGGGTCCAGGAATTGGGCTGGGGTCAGAGGCTCTTATACTGGTAGACAGAGGCCCGGGCTGGCCAGTGGTCCAGGCCAGCAAGGATGCCTCACAGGGAACGCCTACCAAGCCCCAGTAGGACCCATCAGGCCAGAGCCCAACAGAGCCTAAGGTCCCGGTCCTCGGTCCTCGGTACTCACCCCTAAGAGGTTCCCAGAGGCAGGTCCTAGCTGAAGAAATCTCTCCTGCCAGCCAAGAAGAAGGGAGTGAGATTTGGGGTGGGCTGTGCCCCCCACCCCAGTGCTATGCCCCAGCCCTGAATCAGGGCAGCTATTCTTGGCATGTCGAGTGACCAGACGAATCAACTAGCAGTGGGAACCCTGAGCTCATTTGCTGCAATTCTTCTGAGGGGCCCAGGTCTCCCTCACTCCCCTCTGTTCCCTGTTCTGTTCCCCTCCCCCGATGAAGGCTGAGGTGCCTCAGCACTTTTAGACAAGGAATCGATTTTCTCAGCAGCCTTCTTTGAAAGGCGGGGCATTTGTTCAACAAACATTGCCACCCGGGAGGTGACAAAACTAACATAATCCAAAAAAGAGGAAGTCAGTCATCTGGTTATTAATAAAGTAATAATAATAATAACTAGCTTTGGACATAGTACTTAACTTCTCTGTGCCTGTAAAGTGAGAAAAATTATATGACCTACTTCATAAATGTAAAGTGTTTACACTAGTGCCTGGCACAGAGTAACACTGAATAAGTAAGTGATAGCAATGTATTATTTAATTATTATTTGGTTCTAATAGGTAGGGTGTCATATATAGGGTGATACATAAATATTAATCCTAGATATATATAGAGAGAGATTAGCTGTAGGTAATAGGGTGTGTCTGTATGTGTATGTACGTATACGTGTGTGTGTGTGTGTGTGTGTGTGTGTATTCCTTTCCCTTGATATATACCTCAATCCCAGGAGAAAGGAGGCATTATTACCTCTTGGGAGTCATGCATCAGAGCTTGGATTTGAATGAGATGTCACATTTGCAAATCCCAGGACTCAGGGCCCTGAGGTGACCCTGCTCTGAGCCCAGGCATCGCTTCACCTAGATGGAGGGCACTTGGACACCCTTCATGCCCTCATGGTGCGGCCCTGCCTCCCCTCCCACCATGTCCTGGTTCCAGGGTGTGTGAAGGGGATAGGGTGCATCCGCAGAGCCCCAGGCTCCACCCCACCTGACAGCAGTAGAGGCTCTGTGCTCTGGCTCTGGCCCCTAGCCCCAGCCCCGGTGTGGCAGACCAAGGTTTCCCAGGATGCCAGCTCCTCAGAAGGCAGGGAGAGCTGGGCCAAGCTAGTCCAGGTACCATCCGCAGCTGGGGAAGGGCCGTAGGTGAAGGCATCCAGTGCGCTGCCGTTGCCTGTTGAGAACCAGATGGGGCTCTCAAGGCCAGGGGGTGCAACGTCAAGGACCAGGCAGACCACCAGCATCTGCTGCTTCCCGTTCACCAGCAGTGTAATCGGTGGGGCCAGAGAGGGGAAAGGTGTGCCACCCACACCTGTAAGAAAGCATGCACCTGTCGGGGACTAGAGGTGTCCATGCCTCCCCCTCCACTCCTACCCAGGCCAGCATCTCATTGTAGGTTTCTATGCTTCTCTCTGTCCTTTTACCATCCATCTATCCTTCCATCTCTCAACCATCCCTCTCTCCTTGCATTTACCCATCTAAACACTCTTCATTCCCTCCATCCTTTTATTCACCCATCTATTCATCCATCTTTTCTTCCATCATCCATGTTTCTTACATCTATGCTCTCTACTTTCCATCTATATGTCCATCCATCCCATCTTTTCATCACCTCTCTATCATATTTGAACCTGTCTGTGCAAGGCACTGGGGATAAAACATCAATTAATATATTGTCCCACTTTCAAGAAACTCAGTCTCATGGGAAAGACAGCAGATACATAAATAAACACGTAATACCTCGTTGTGCCAGGCGCAGGAGAGAAGTTGCCTCTGGGGAAGCAGGCAAGGAAATATGACCTGGAATGAGATCAAAGGGGCTTCAAAAGTTTCTGTAGCTTCTTTTGTTTCTTTAAAACAAAAAAACAAACAAACAAACAAGCAAACAAACAGAAAACAGCCCTGACCATCCTGTTTCAGCGGGTTGGGCATCATCTTGCAAATTGAAAGGTTGCCAGTTTGATTCCCAGTCAGGGCACATGCCTGGCTTGCGGGCCGGGTCCCCTGTTGGGGGCGTGCTGGAGGCAGCCCATTGATGTTTCTCTGGCACATCCATGTTCTTCTCCCTCCCTTCCCCTCTCTCTAAAAATAGATAAAAACCTTTAAACAAACAAAAACATCCTGATTCACTTTCCCCCACAGGAGTGCATCTCCTAAATTCTAAGGGTCCCCACACGACTCGCAGACGGGGGAGCAATGGGCAGCGCAGCTCCTCCTGGGCTAACCCCCGAACCTGTCTCCAAGGCCCCTTTTCTCTGACTTCCCAGGGAGCCAAAGCAGCCCCACCCAGGTCTCTCCTGTTGCTTTTTCTATCCTAGATCCTTCCTTGTTTCACTGTCCTCAGCTTTAATAAATGTACTCTCAAAATTAAAAAATTAAAAAAATTAAATAAGTTTGATTCAAATATGGCAAGATTTTAACCATTTGTTAATCTGAGTGGAGTATGCACAGGTGTTTATTGTATTATTCTAGATTCTTTTCTGTAAGTCCATAGTGTCTGTGTGTGTTTAAATATATTTATTGATTTCAGAGTGAGAGGAAGGGGGAGAGAAAGACATTGATTGCTTGCCTCCCATACGCACCCTGAATGGGGATTGAACCCATAACCTAGGTATGTGCCCTGACCAGGAACTGGACACTCACACCACCCCCCATTTTTGTTGTACGGGATGACGCTCCACTCAACTGGGCCACACTAGCTGGGGCTGTAGTGTTGCTTTTTTTAACAGCTTTGTTTAGATATAATTCATGTACCATACAAACCACCTATTTAAAATATATGTCTGTATTATTTCATACTTAAAAAAAACAAAAGTAAGTCACGTAGACACTGCAAACACCTGTCTTATATTTTCCTGAATAGTCCTAATTTCCACAAACTTATTCTTTTTAGCAAAGATGATTTATTTAACATATAACAAAATGTTATTTTTGAATAGTTGGATATTTGTTCATATAAATGAAATCTCAAAGGCTAAAACCTCCAAACAAATTAAAACCATGATTAAATGCAGCCAGGGCAAAGAGATGCCCAAGGTGCAGGGAAGGGTACCAGAGTATCTTGTGGGGATGTAGGGGTGGGTATGCTCATGTGAGATTTCTTGAAGGTCAAACAAGTTACCTAGTGGCACATGGATGGTAAGTAGACTTGAACAGATCTCTGTGACTGCAAATCCCATATATCACCCCCCTCGGAAGGATGACTAAGATTTTGCTAGATAATACAGTGGACCGAGCCTGGGATGTGGCCTCAGACAGAGCTGGTTCGTCTGTCACTTAATATACTGAGGCTGAATGGTCCCATCAATAACACGGCGTTAATGACACCATCCCCCCAAAATTGTTGTGAAGATTAAAGTTCATGAATGTAGAACACCATGGCGAGTGAATATTAGTATTATTATTCAATTCCAATATTAATAAGGTATCGCAAACAAAGGGAGTAGAGAAGGCTGGGAGTGAGCTCCAGGGACCACAGGCTGAGCCTTTTCAGTTACACAGATAGAAACACTCCCCACGTTAAGTTAAGCATCTCCCTCCTCCAAAAACCTCCCAAGATTGCTCCTCATCTGCCTGGCTGCTTCCTTCGCAGAGCTCAGGCCTCCTGCCACGGGCACGTCCTGCTCCACATGGGTGTGGCTCAACTCCGTAGGAGGGAGAGCTGGTGGCAAACTGGGGGCCAGCTTTAGCTCAAGGAGATGTCCTTATTCAAAGGTCAAGGAGTTTCCCCTCACACACACGTGCAAATATTCTCAGGCTTTTAGATTAAGCTGGAATTCTCAAAACTGGAGTCCTTTGGCTCCAGCGTTGATCTTTGCAGAATTGGGGGTAAATACACCTGGGAAGTACTGAGGCCTTGGGACTCCTCCTGAGAGCCCATTGATAAGGGGAAGCTGGGAGTGGACATGAGACACTCTGAGCCCTGTTGGAACAGTGCACCCTGAGGGCGGGAGACCTGGACTGGAAGGACAGGAGAGGACCTCATAAGGTTGCCCACATCCCATCACCCTGTATCACATACTACAGCCCTGGTTACCCCACCTTGACGCCCACGGACACCCATCCAGCTTGCTCTTGTTTGTCTATACCTCCAAGAGGTGACTACTCTCGCTACCAACCCTGTGGACTCCAGAGGAGCAGGATTTGGGGCTCCAGAGCAAGGTAGCAGGGAGGGAGGGTACAATGGGGAAGGGGAAGATGGCCTTCTGGTGAGACCCTCCCCAGGCCGCCCCCAATGCCTCTGTTCTGCCTCCCTGCATCTCACCCACACCTGGAGGCCCGGAGGGAGAGGGGTTTGGGACAGGGGAATGGGGCACAGAAAGGGATGCAGGGAGGGGACTCACCTGTGGGCAAGGCTGGACACTCGAGGGCCAGGAGAAGCAGCAGCCAAGTCCCGGCCATGGCCCACCTGAGAGGAGGCAGGACACAGCTGCAGACCCGAGGTGTGGGCTTGGGGAGGAAGCACCCACAAGACTGCCTCGCAGGCCACAGGCCCAGCTGCACCTCAGCTGCTCCACCCCGGAGCCGTTTCCCTGGTGAGGGGCCCCTCCCACTCCACCCCAGCCCCCAAACCCAATTCTCTCTCATGGGGCCAGGAAACTCAGGCTGCCCTTCCCACAGCAGAAGCTGCGTGCACACACTGCCTCCCGTTTGAAGAGCACTTCACAGTACGCAAAACCTTTCCCCAGTCACCGGCCCTGCCATCTACAGGGTACAGAGCAAGAGGGAGTATGTCAAGGACTTAATATGCAACGTTCATTCCATCCACCCAGTGACTGTGAGTTCTATCACAGGTGAGGCAACTGAGGCTCAGAGAGACTGAGTGGCCTGCCCAGGACCATGTGGCTGGCCGGTAGCAGAGCCAGGGCTTGAACCGTTTCCTGATGGCTGGCCTTACTGTAGCCAAAAAACCCAGTGAACTTATTTCTGTGTTACTACACCACCCCTTTGAAATAGAATTTATTTTTCTTAAGGAAGTTTCAAGTTCATGGCAAAACTGAGCAGAATGTTCAAAGATTTCCCATATATTCCCTGCACTGTCACATAAAACCCCCCTTTTAAAAAAAATCAACTTTTTATAAATGCTATTTTCAATGGCTCCACAAATTTTAGCTCGGTGTCATTTTGACCCTAAAACTTCCCATCTAGGTATGTACCCTAATGAAATAATGAGAGGTTCAGTCATTATAAGACAAAGATTTATTCACAAAAATGTGCTTTGAAGTATGACATTTAAAAAGCAAGAGCAATGGGAAACAACCTAATTCTTCGATGCTAGGGGAAGGGTTGAATGAATTCATGTTTGATGTATTTATATCAGTGAATATTATGCAGCAGTTTTTCAAATCATGTTTTCAAAGAAGGGTTTCTTTTTTCTTTTTTACTTTTTTATTGAATTTATTGTGGTGCACCCGTAACCTATGTGGTGCACAGTTTTATAATACATCATCTGTATATATTGTATTGTGTGTTCACCACCCTAAGTCTCCTTCCATCACCATTTATCCCCCCATAACATCCTCTACCTCCCCTCACCTACCCATAAAGAATGTTTAATGACATGGGATATAGAATAGTTCGGTTCAGAGCATGGGCTGCGAAGGCAGAATGCCTGGCTTTCAACTCTGACTCGGTGGTTCAGTTGTGTGACTTCCACCAAATCACTTACTTCCCTCATTCTCAATTCCCTCATCTACAGTGGGGATGAAAATACCACAGAGGGGTCCTGTGATATTTAAGCAAGATGAACCACGAAGAGGATTTAGCACCACTCTTTATATAGTAAGTTCTTGAATAATGTAGCTTCGTTCAATGTTGTTTCCTTATAACATTGATGAGGAAATGAAATCGTTTTCTGACAGGACCACTGTCTGTGTAGTTTGCATGTTCTCCCCACATCTGCCTGGGTCTTCTCCTGGGTCTCGGGTTTCCTCCCACACATCAGCGATGCGGTGAGTTGGGTGTTCGCGTCGTCTCGGTCTGAGTGAGTGTGGGCGCGCGCGATGCGCCGCGCAATGGAGGGGCGGGCTGCCCAGGGGGTCCGCCCTCGGCTGCTGGGACGGGCTCTGGCCCCCTGGGACCCTGAACTGGAATAAACGGGTTGGAAAATAATTATCTTATTTGTTTTTACTAATCTTTTCTAAATGCATGTATACTCCACATTTATTTCGATGTTTAATATTAGAAGTGTTTTGGGTCTTAAAATTTTTGTGATGTTTTTATGACCAGAGATATGCCACAGGAACATAACTCTTGTTTTTATCAGTTAGCCTATGGTAAAATTGGTTTCCTAATACATAATTTTGCTTAAAGTCATAGTTTCTAAGAACCTGTTGGTGTTGAACACCTACAGTACATAGTAAGAAGTCATAAATGTTCCTTTTTTATATGTGTGTATACATAATTACATACACAGAAAGTTGAAACAAACAGTATACAAATCTAGGTAGAAACTATTTACTCAATTTTGTATAAGAAATATGTAACTACTCCTAGAAGAAAGCAGACCAAATGTTAAGAATGTAATCTCTGCACTTTAGGATTTTGGATAGCTTTTTATTTTCATCTTCATAATTGTTCATTTCTCAAATTTTCTACAGTGAATCTGTATTATTGAAAAAATCATGAAATAAAACATTATTGAAAAGAAAACTACAGATGTACCAAAGTTTATTTAGCCATTACTTTATTGTTAAACATTTGGGTTCTCCAGTTTGGGGAACAGATATGGTTGCTCATAAAGAATTTTTCTTAAAATTATTGGCTTAAAGGCCTTTGATTTTTTTGGATTAACTTAAATTTTTAAGTTGTAGTAAAGTACACATAACATAAAACTCACCATCTTAACCACTTTAAAGTGCACAGTTCAGTGGTGTCAAGTAACTTCTTCACCTCGGTTGTACAGCCACGACCACCATCCCCCGCCCCCCCCCCGCCCCCCCCCGCCGCCCGGAGAACCCTTTCATCTTGGAAAACTGAAACTCAGCGCCTATGAAGCAGCCTAACTCGCCATCCCTCCTTTCCCCAGCCCCTGCCTCCCAGCATTCTACTTTCTGTCTCTGTAAATCTGACCGCCCCATTCAAGTAGAATCATAAAGAATTTGTCTTTTTGTGCCTGGCTTATTTCATTTAGCATGATGTCACCAAGGTTCCTCATCCATGTTGTAGCACGTGTCAGAATTTCCTTTCTTTTTAATGCTAATAATATTCCATCCTCGGTATATACTACATTTTGGTTCTTATCTATTCACTTCTCAGTGGACATTCCTCAATGGTTACTTCCACATTTTAGCTATTGTGAATAATGCCACTGTGAACATGGGTGCAAAAATATCTCATCAAGACCCTGTTTTCCATTCCTTTGTGTATATACCAAGAAGTGAAATTGCTGGATCTTTTGGTAATTTTATTTTTAATTTTAATTTGATAGGGGCCATCCTAATGTGTGCAAAGTGGTATCTCACTATGTTTTTTTTTAAATGTTTTTTACTTATTGATTTTAGCAAGGGGAGAGAACATCGACTTGTTGTCCCACTTATTTATGTATTCATAGGTTGATTCTTGTATGTGCCCTGGCAGGAAAGGGAACCCACAGCCCTGGAGTACCAGGGCAACCTTTTAACCAAGTGAACTACCCAGCCAGGGCTCCCTACGGTTTCAATTTGCATTTCCCTAATGATTAGCGATGTTGAGCATCTAAAGCCTCTGTATTTTTAAGGCTCCCTGACACACATCTGTTATACTAATTTATATTGTATTAATTATAATGTATTAAAGGTCCACTTCATCCCCATCAGCATTTGGCATTTCTCAAAAAAAAAGAATCTTAATTTAGTTAAAAATGGTATATCACCTCTCTGATCACAACATTATTTTCCCTCTTAATTGTTTCCTTCACTGTATTGTTGTTTATTGTCCTCCTGTAGCCCCAGTGTCTTTGTAAGAACTTTCACTTAATAAAGATACCAGCACTTTGCATATTGCACTTGGCTGGAGCCATTTCCCAATTTGCTGACTGCTTTTAATTTCACTTTTCTTTTTTAAAATTGCAGTTTTTTGTTTTGTATGAACCAACATATCCATCTTCCCTGTTGGGATTTATCGTATGCCTTTTAAGCCTAGAAAACATCCCCCCTTCGGAGAGCCGTTGCAGTCGCACTTCTGTTGTCTTTTTGTGCGTGTGCAGTTTAATCCCTGCTCCCTCTCTCCCCAATTTCATGCCATCAGGAATTAATTTTGGTGTATGATAAATGTGCATCTAAATTTTCTTCCCCAAAGAGCTAATCAATTATCCCAAGATTATTCATTGAAAAATCTTCCTGTCCCCATTATTTGGGAAACGTTTTTTATTACATGTTAATGTCTTTTACATTGGCAAGTTCATGTCTTTCTGGCTCCAATTTCTTTATTCTGGTGCCAGCTTCATCCAGTTTTCTTTTGATTATTTTTTTAAATTAAATTTTATTTTTTTTAAAGATTTTTAGAGAGGGGAAGGGAGGGAGAAAGAAAGGGAGAGAATCATCAATGTGTGGTTGCCTCTCGCACACCCCCATTTGGGACATGGCCCAGAACCCAGACATGTGCCCTAGACTGGGAATCGAACTTGCAACCCTTTTGTTCACAGGCTGGCATCCATCTTTTGATTTTTTAAATAATCTCCCATGATTTATTTTTAATAATCATGTCAATTACACTCTTGGATGTCCTGAGGGAACCCCTCCAGCCAGGGCTTCTCTCACGCCCCTTCCCCGCAGGGCAGCCTGGAAGCCTCCTGCGCCACGTGTTCCCAGGCACTGCTGGGCCCAGGTGCGCTCAGTCACCGTGGGTTCCTGCTGGGAGGGGGAGGGAGGGAGGCAGGTGTCCCTAACGACTCTCCCGCCCTCCAGCCTGGGGAGGTCTTGGGCTGTGTTACCACATTACAGATGGGGAAGAGCCTTCTGGCCTCTTTTGGTTTCAAGACCTTCCCAGGGAGAGGAAGATGGAGACCCCACTGATGACTTGGGCCACCTTGTGCCACTAAAGCTACCCTTCCACTGGCCCACTCCAGCTCCATGGCCAGAGGTCAGCCTGGTCCTTTGTTCTCACACAGGTTCCCTCTTTCCAGGAGCACCAGCTGGAAATCTTTAGGACCCTTTCTCTGGGCAGTGAGGATGTCCTACCAGCTGGCCTCAGACACAGGAGCTGAATCCCTTCCCTGAGCACTTCACTTGGGACTGAACCTGCCACTTGCCCACTGGCTGCTAAGAGCCAGGCTGTGTTCACAGCCATCTCACTTAATCTTCACAGCCACCCCGACGTCAGGGTATTCTCATCCTTGTTTTGCAGTCAAGGAAACCGAGGCTCAGAAAAACTAGGTTACATGTCTGGAGTCCCCACTGGCTGAATCCAAGTGGAGGGAATGTCCTTCGATGCAGCTCAGCCTACCGGGACACAGGGCTGGTGGGATTGGGGCGGCGGAGGGTGTATCTGGAGGGTCACAGGAAGTTCCTCTTATCCATGGTTCAGATAAAAAAAAAAACCCTGTCCTCAGCACAGAGGACATGGTGTCCCATCAGCTACTATAGATATTTCACTAGGAGGGAAAGTCAATTTGGTAATGCTCCTACTGAAACCTAAAATGTTAGCTACCACCAGAGTTCTTCACAGAAGTTAGCAGGGTTAAGTGGGGGTTTTGAAGCCTGAATTCATAAGCACAACCACCTGCTTTCATGCCTAAGGACAGTCTCCTAATTCTATGCCAACACTTTGGACAGGATTATTTACTTGGAGGGTGACTCAAACCTTTCTTCCTATAGTGTCTGAGTTCTTTTTTTTTTTTCTTTCCATTTTCTTTTTCTTTTTTTATTTTTCTTTTTACTTTTTTTTCCACTTGATTTTTCTTTATTGTTGTTCAAGGACAGTTGTCTCCTAGGGCCTGAGGTCTTGGTGGTCTTGAGTTTGTTGGGTTGCTGAGGTTTTCTGTTAACCAGGGCTATTGGGCGGGAGATTATTAAGAGGCCCTTTAGCGAATCCCTGGGTTCCAGACCTAGTGCCAACCTCTCTCACGCAACAGCAACCTAATTTCTCTGGTACTTGGGATTAATCAACCAGATGTTTCGGGGATCCCTTTCTTTGCATATGGGTTCAGTAGTATGAGAGATGAAAATGGCTAGGGGCCATCTCAGCTTCCAAGCCGTCGGTTGTATGATTGTTCTGTGGAGGAAAATGTTTCTCCCAAACCTACTGAATCCAAGTTTATGGAAATGGGTAGCAAAAATTATAGACTTTTTCACCCCGGCTGGGTAGCTCAGTTGGTTAGAGCATTGTCCAAATATGCCAAGGTTGCAGGTTCAATTCTGAGCCAGGGTACATACAAGAAGCAACCAATGAATACATAAATAAGTGGAATGACAAATCAATCTTCCTCTGTCTCAAGAAATATATATTTTTGAAATAATAGATGCTGCTACGCTAACCTCTTCTTGGTTGTATATGATTTTGATTCTGGTTTAGTTTAAAGAATACCCTTTAGGTGAGCACCTTCACCTTACAGGAGGTAGTTTCTTGACTCTGCTCTCCCTGAGCCTTTGGCTGGTTAATCCACTATTTTATCAAGCCAGCTGCTTCTGGTCATGGGGCACATGGTAAGACCAGTAAATTCTTTGGGCCTGAGCTCATTGGTACCTTTCCTTGGGAGTAAAACACATGCCTGGGTTGGAGGAGATGTTATGTGGCATGCCATGGTGATGGGCAAGGTGTTCTAAAAGTCCATGGGTGGTGGTGCTGACAGAAGCAAAGTAGGCAGAAGTGAATTCATACCTGGAATGTGTCTGCTCTCGTGAGGCTCAAGCATAGTCCTTCCACGCTAGGAGGACCCAATCAAATCAATCTATGACCAGGTGCAAATGATGCCCAGCTGGGGAGTCAGTGTTGGGCTGTCAGCAGGAAGGGCACTCAGCACTGGCACGGTCAGATTAGCCTTAGAGAAGGGAAGGCTATGTGACTGAGACAAAGCATAGCTTCCATCCGTGTCATCATGGTTGACAAAACAAGCCTTGGGTACCTGAGGGAAGAGGCTGAGCATGGTCAGCAGAACTGTCATCTTGTCTCCCTGATGGCCATTCTTTCCCATGCTTTATGGTGGGTCACTGCACTTACCTTGCCTTTGGCTGTTAAGGCTCACCGCCTGCCCTTCACATCACCAGGCTGCCACTATTCTCCCCAAGGTCAGGGAACCCAGGTCCAGGGGTCCTTCCAGCATCCCCCACCAGCATTTCCAGCCCACAGAGGACAGCCGTCCGAGCAAGTCAAGGATGCTGGTGTCCCTCACCAATGCCTTTCTTGATGTTTTGGCAAAGGGAGTATTTTCCTGACCCCCTTAAACTGTGTGGCTACAGGTGGCTAAGCCAGGTGCATGTAATAAATCCAACCCAACATTCCTATCTCTTTGAGATTTCAGATTCCTTCCTTTATGGTATGCCAGGGAAATTCTGGCATTTCAAGTTTATTAACTATAGACTACCATTAAGTTCAGGCGTTAATTAACCCACCCAGCAGACTATTAATTCCTCTCCCAGGTGCTCGAGCCAATATGTGAAATCCCAAATCCTGGAGGAGCATCTATGACCATGCGTTTGGCCAAGCGGAGCCTTACATTCCACCCTCCCAGGTCTATTTCCCACACATGTTCCCATGGCTCCTGCCAAGGCAGTTTGGCAAGGCCTGTAACTCTTTCTGTCTAGCCATTCTCCTCTTAGCGTGGGCCCTGGGCTTCCCCACCCAGGCTGTGCTGGAATCTTATTCACAGAGGGCCTGGGGTCAAGCAGGGATGAAGGTGGGGAGGGTTCTGAGGCGGACGTCCTGGGAGACAGGAGCACTACAGAGGACATTGTCTCCACAGACAGAACCATTTCAAGAGAATTTGGGGGCTCAAAGTTCTCAGCTTCATCCATGTCGGCCCAAATGTCCCCATTCCATCTCAGTGTCCCACCCACTCCCCATCAATGCCCCTCCCTTAGCATAAGAGACCTAAAGGGCTGAGCATTGCATTTGCACTGCAACTTGACAACCCTTACAATGACATCCTGGGGCCAGACCTCAGCCCTGTGAGCCCTCTCTGCCTATACGAGATGAGGGACTTTTTCAAGGTTCTATCAACTTGTCCCAATTGCTCAGATTTCCTGTCAGACATCAATAACTCCCTACTCTCCTTCCCCCCTGCGCGTGTTCCCTGGGGCCATCAGAAGCCAGATGACTCCATGCCTCAGCGAATTGGCCATTTCATCTCCCGTCTCCCCACCCCAACAATGCAGTGCCCTGTACTTTGTCCCATGCCACCCTCAATGAAAACGTGAGCAAAGGTGGTGCCTCTGCGTGCAGTGAGATACCTGGGTGCGTTTCCTTCTCTGCAAGGAGGCTTCCCCTCTACTCCTTGAAGTTATATCCATCCATCCCAGTCTCCTGTTTGAGGCTGCTCCTGGAAGCAGTTCCTGTATTGGTGAGTATGGACAGGCAGTAGATGACACATTTATTGGGTAATTGGAGGAGAATTTCATAAAAGGACTATTTCCAGAGGTGTGGCAGCATTAAGGGAAATCCCAAGGGACAATGTAGTACCTGGGACCAGTAACATGCCTTAAGGGGTGAGGGGAGGGCGCCGTGGCAGAGAGCTGCGTGGAGGGACCTGGCAGCCAGCAGCAGTTCTGTAGAGAGGGGAGCTGAGGAATAAAGACCCTGACCTCCTCCTCCTTTTTTCTGCTGGGCCTCCCATTGTCCAAACCCAAAAGTCAGAGGGTAAGGGAGCCTACAGAAGGTGTCTGTAGATGCCACTGTCCAGGAGGCCGGTGACACAGGTAGAGAGAGGACCTGGAGGGGCCAACAGGAGAGAGCCGGCATCAACACTCATTTGATGAGAATGTTAATAACTGCCTTGTGGGCATCACTCATCTTCCCATTTAATCTGTTGGACAATCCTATGAGGTGGGCACTATCATCTCATTTTACAGATAGGAAGTCACGTGAAGATAAGTGAAATAACTTGCTCCGAAGTCCCACAGCTGTCAAGGGCCAGAGGTGGATTAGGACCTGGGCTCCCGAGTCAGGCTCGGGCCAGCCCTGCCGGCCGACAAGATGACCCTAAGAGCAGCTCACACACTACGTGCTAAGATCAAATACATTTTAAAACCAGTATAGAGAATGTTAATGGGTTATGGCGGGCCCTTTTCTGTGGGCCTCTCATGGTGTGCTCATGCCAGAGTAAATTGCAGCCTTGAACCATTTCCCAGCCGTCTTACGTGTGGGCTGTGAGCGCGGAAGGGGGCTGTACAGTGATAAAAATAAAGCAGCTCTCTCTCCTCCCTCTTCCCCCAGGGGCATTTTCCTTGTTTCTCTCTTTCCTTAAGCTACAAGGGCCCTTCCTTTGCCTCTGTAACTTGTTTCCCGAGCCCATTTCTTACACGGCTCACTTCTTCTACCTCTGTTAACTTCCTTTTCTTTTTAATTTTTATTTATAGATTTTAGAGAGAGAAAGAGAAAAAAACATTGATTTGTTGTTCCACTTATTTATGCATTCGTTGGCTCATTCTTGTATGTGCCTTGACTGGGGATCGAACCCACAACCTTGGTGCATCAAGACAATACTCTAACCAACTGAGCTACCTAGACAGGTCCTACCTTTGTTAACTTTCTAAATAAACTTCCTCAAATAAATAAATAAATAAATAAATGTCAGTATAATGTGTAGGCTGCTTATTTCAGTTGGCACATAACCACACCAGGCACTGCACTCTATTATTTATGTAATAAATTTTATGATTTGTCTGTATCATATGATTCCATTATAATTACTACAATAATTTACTTCTGTGACATTTTCCCTGGGACAGATGTGAGCCCCTGGAGGACAGGAACCTGCACACCAAGCATTTGGCACTGTGCACAGCATAAGGTGGGCTCTCAGTGCTTACATGGAGCTGAATTCAACCTTTCCTCCTTAAGCTGATAATAATACATTAATTCATTCAGTCGGTCATTTAGCTAACATTTTCTGAGCACCACTAGGTCTCTACAGGTTTTGGTTTAGGCACACAGGGATATTCGATGAGTAAGACTGAATGGTCTAATCTACATACTGTGTGCAGATGGGGAGGTGAGCTAGGGATCGTGGACACGCAGAAAAAGGATCAATTCATTCTGATGGCAACACGGAAGGGGTGGGTCCATCAAGGGGAAGCCTTTGAAGGATGAATTGGGTTTCAATAAGAGAGGGAGAGGGAAGGGCATTTTCTGCTGAGATAGACTTTTAAAAATTATGGATGAGTCCTGACTGGTGTGGCTCAATGGACTGAGCTCCCACTTGTGAACCTAGAGGTCACCAGTTTGGTTCCTTGTCAGGGCACATGCCCGAGCTGTGGGCCTGGTGCCTCGTGGGGGGCTGTGGGAGGTGTTTTGGATGTTTTTTCTCCCTCACTTTTCTCCCTCCCTTCCTCTCTCTTTAAAAATAAATAAAATATTTTAAAAATTTTGTAAAAATCATGTATGAAAGATGAGTGCAGTGAGTTATAAATGACCTTGGAGTGTTTAGAACCTATCTCTAAAATTAGAGGTTGATCCCTGGCCTTACCATGTTGGGGGCCGCTTTGAGTGGTATCGGGGACTGTAGTCCCGCACAAGCTGGGGCCTGGGAGAGGCCCCGTAAGACTTGGCCAGAGCACTGGTAATGCAGTTGATAGGCAGGACCTGATAATAACTCCGAGGGCCCCCGAGGGAAATCAGGCCTAGAAGTAAATGTCACTCCTTGAAGCAGGCTCTGTTTCTCCCTCAGCTCTGTTAATCTTACACCAGATAACATGCTCAAGGCTGGGAAAGAAATTTACGAAATTCCTGGACCCTGACCCACATCCCACCTGATGCCATAATGTTTTCTCACCTCAGATCCAAGCAATTCAGTGTGTCCCTGCCATTGTCTTCTTTAAACATCACCTATTCTCTGTAAACTTAAGTTACTGATGTAATCAGATTACCTATACATTCCTGCTACCTGTCCCCCGCTTGTAACCCTCTCAATAAAAGCCATTGAGCACAGGGAGCTTGGGACATTCCCCACTGGAGGGAATCGTCTTCCCCTTTCCTGGACAGGCAAACAGTGTCTGGAACGATTCTTTCCTCTATCCACGGTGAATCGGGGGACCTCGCGGGCCAGAGTCCCCCAAATTACCACCCCTGCCAGAATGACGTCTTGGCCTCGGGGGTCCCACCTGACGCTGGGAGAGGCTGCAGATATGCCTGGATGGGAAATACCTTCCACTGCCCCATCTGCGGGCTTATTCAGTTTTCTTCCTTTTGCCTCCTTGCCTTCTGTATGTATCTATGGCAGTGCTCACACTCAGAATGCCTGTCCACTGGGAGGGGGCCTCGGAGCCCCATCAGTGAGAGGCGGCCCGGGATGGGGGAAACTGCGGGATTGAGTCAGGAGCTCTGTTACTCCCTTTCCCGGGCTCAGCTTACTGCTCTGTGTATTAGAAAGCTGAGCTCGCTTGTGTTTGAGGTCCCTTTTGACAACCCCTGATTCCTAGGCTTATCCCGCCCATCTTATGGAGTTGTGCTGAGGATAAAATGGAAGGATGAGAGAGAAGAAAAAATGATGCCAAGACAACTCCCCACTCAGCAAGCACATACACATCACTGCTCCTAATTCGGAGAAAATTTGGTCCTTTTAGTGCCTGGGAGGACACCCAAGGTGGTGATTGTTGTTATTTTAAATTTTATTTTCAATTGCAGTTCACATTCAATATTATTTTGCATTAGTTTTGGGTGTACAGCATAGTGGCTAGACAATCATATGCTTCACAAATTGTTCTCGTCGATACTTTTACTAACCACCTGGCACCATATGCTAGTTATTACAACATTGTTGACTATGTTCCCTGTGCTGTACTTCACATCCCTATGACTATTCTGTAACTGCCAATTTGTACTTCTTAATATCTTCATCTTTTTCACTCAGTTCCCCAACCCCCGTCCCCTCTGGCAACTATCAGTCTCCAAGGTTGATTTCTCTCTTCTTTCTTTCTTTCTTTTTAAAATTTTTATTGATTGATTTGAGAGAGGGAGAGAGAGAAACAATGATTTGTTGTTCCACTTATTTATGTAGTCATTGGTTGATTCTCAAATGCGCCCTGACCAGAGATTGAACCCACAACCTTGGAGCATGCGGATGATGCTCAAACCAACTGAGCTACCCAGCTAGAGCTCCACGGTTGGTTTTGACCTCATAGAGATGTTTTCATCTTGTGTTTGGCTGGTATGAAACAAGGCAGTGGTGGCACAGAACACCAGACGCCCACCCCCACTCCCACCACAATGTTGGGAGTAGAACTGAGGCCGAGGACATCTAAGAAAGGGAACCTGGTGAGTGGGGATGGAATCCTTCCGGCGAGAACTGCAGATTGTCCAGGAAACTGACGCAGGCCACAGAGAGAAGGAGGAGTTCTCCTTTTATTCAGTGTTCTGTTAAAAATCCCCCACTGGTGTGCTGCAATTGAATTCCAGTGCTAACCACCTGGAGTTAGCACACACCCCACAAGTTCAAGGGCATGGTCCCCAACAAGACTGCTCTCACTTCAGATGCCAGCTGCAAGTTCAGAGGGGTACCCGGACCACAGGCACTTGATTGGGTAAAAATTTGGGGGATCCCACAACCCCCTTCAGGTTCAATAATTCATGAGAACAACTTGCAGAACTCAGGAAAGTGCCATTCTTATGATTAATTTTATTAGAGAGGACATAAGTCAGCAGGACCTGACAAATGAAGAGGAGCATAGGACAAGGTGTGGGAGGGTCCCAAATGCACAGCTTCTGTGCCCTCTCCTCATTAAATCAGGACATGTCACCTTCCTGACACATCTATGAGTTCAATAATTAGGAAGCTCCACTGAGCTTTGTGTCCGGAGTTTTTATTGGGGTTGATGACATAGGATGGCTGATTAAATTATTGCCTGGAGATTGAACTCAATTTCCAGGCCCCTTCTTCTTTCTAGACCTCACATGGCCCAAAGCTCCAACCCTCGAATCACATGGTTGGTTTTCTGGCATGGCCACCTCAGTGGCAGGGGATAATCTCCGCCTCCGTCTCGGTCTCCGTCTCCTTAGCACCCGACAGAAAGTAGTAGAGGGGCTCTCTCCAGGGCCTCAGGAGGACGGGGAATAAGTGACACACCACTGCGGCATGGGGCCTGGGGCCACCATGAATGACCTCGTTGGCATAGACTATCAGGGTCCACCATAAATATCACTCCTAATATTTGGGAAATTCCAAGGATTTAGTCTCCCTCCCAGGAACGAGGGGCAAAGGTCACTCCTATTCTTTATTACGCAGCCCTTAGTGTGGTCAGTCTCCTCCAGTCTGGCTTCTCACATCCTCCCACTCCGCCTCCAGCTTTTATTTTGAGAAGTTTCAAAACATTTAGATTCACCAATTCTTAGCAATTTTCCCACAATTTGCTTTTACTCTCTCTCTTCATGATATTTCACCCCTAAATAATTCAGCATGTATCTTGTGTGAAGAAGGTCATCCTTCTACATAACTAAAGCATAATTGCTGCTTTATTACTGAAGAAATCTGGCATGACAGTGGCCAGGAAGCTCAGTTGTTTGGAGCATTATCCGTGATACCCAAGGTTGCAGGTTCAGTCCCTGGTCAGGGCGCATACAAGAATCAACAAATGAATGCATAAACAGAACAACAAAATTGATGTCTCTCTCTCTCTAAAATCAACAAGTAAAAATTAAAAAGAAATTTAGCATCAATATACACTAGATTCCCCCTTCTTCATTTTCGAGGGTGTCAGTTGCTAAAGGTCAACCATGGTCCTGAAATAGTAAATGGAAATTTCCGTAAATATACAATTTATAAATATTAAATCACCAGCTGTAGCTGAGGTAAAATCTCGAGCTGCTCCACCCAGGATGAGAATCTCCGCTCTGCCCAGGGTACCCACTCTGTATTCGCTCCTTGCCTGGAAGTCACTTCGTAGCCAGCTCACTTATCAGGTGGGTTATCAAATAGAGAAAAACGAAAGTCACGTAACTTTTATGACACTATATTGTTATAATTTTTCTGTTTTGTTAATTATTGTTAATATCTTACTGTGACTAATTTATAAATTAATCATAGGTATGTATGTAGGTACGAAGTAAAACATAGTATAGAGAGGGTTCAGTACTATCCGCAGTCTCAGGCACCCCCTGGAGGTCTTGGAACGTATACTCTGCAGATAAGGTGGGACGACCGTAACAGTATCATCTAATACACAGATCACAGTCAGATTTTCCCAAGGGTAAAATGTCCTTTAAAACTGATTTTCCCCCCATCTTGGATTCAACACAGGATCACACTTTGCATTTTTTATATCTCTAATCTGACAGTTCCTCAGTCTTTTCTTTTTTCTTTCTTTTTTATGACATTCACATAAAACACACACACACACACACACACACACACACACCTGTTATCTCACAACATGGAGGTCAGAAGTCTGAAATGGGTTTCACTGGACTATAATCAAGTTGTTGTCAGGGCTGAATTCCTTCTGTTTCCTTGCCCTTCCTTCCCAGCTGCTAGAGGCTTCTTGTATTCCCGGGTTTGTGGCTCCTTCCTCCATCTTCAAAGCCGGCAGCATGTATCTTCAATCCCTCTGCCTCAGTTTCCAGCATCGCATCTGCTTCTCTAACTCCAATCCTCCTTCCTCCTTCTTCTAGGGACCATTGTAATGGTATTTGGCTCATCCAGGTGATCCAGAATAATCTCCACGACCTTAACGTTTATAAAGTGTCCAGGCTGGTCATTTTGCGGGATGACTCTCACTTCGATTTCTTTGTTCATTTCCTCAGGATTAGATTCAGGGTGAACATTTTTGGCAGGAATATGACAGAAGAGATGAAGTATTTCCGCGTCTGTAGTGTCCTTCTCAGTGCATCATATTGGGAGACACATGGTGCTCTTTGTCCTACTAATAGTAATTAAATTTCGATTACGTTATTTTTTTACGTTACGTGGCATTTGCTAGATCAGGTTAGCTTTCGATAAACTTAGAAACCTGAGAATTATTGGCACTGACTGTAGCACACCTGGTCTGGCTTCATCTTTTCTCTTTGGAAAGGAGTTTTTAAGAAAAAGAAAAGAAAAGAAAACCTTAAAAAAAAAAAAAAAGATTTTACTTATTTGGGAAGGGGAGGGAAAAAGAAAGAGAGAAACATCGATTGGTTGCCTCTGCACGTGCTTCCGACCAGGGACGAACCGCAGCCTAGGCGCGTCCCCAGACCGGGAATCAACCGGCCACCCTCTGCTTTGCGGATCGAGGCCCAACCATCTGAAACACACCAGTCAGGGCCCCATGAATACTGACGGCAGGACGTGGGAAGGGAGTGGCCAGGCTCCGCAGTGGTGTCATTTATACCCAGCTCTCCTGAGTTCCTGGAGAGAGCCCCACTACTACTTTCTGTCGGGTGCTAAGGAGACGGAGACGGAGACGGAGGCGGAGATGGAGATTATCCCTTGCCACGTGTCTATACCCGTGTCCATACCCGTGTCCCTGTACGCGCGCACTTCCACGTGTGCAGGAAAGTAGGAAGGTGCGCAAACGTGGGTCTTTTGACCTGCACCAGCCTGTCCACATGCACGTTGAGTTCTGTGCAAGCCTTCCAATTTCTTCTAAAGACTTCCACATTGAAGGCTCCAGGGGGAGTTAACTGTGCACGTGTGTGTCAAGCGTCTCTGCCCAGAGCCAGTCGTGGTTCTCAATTGCTCCCCTTTCTGGGCCGGCTTGGTATGGCCTGTGACCCCTCCTATGGTGGTTGCATCCACACTTCCGGGAAATGGTTGCCTCCCTCACGCCCGTAACCTGCGCTCTCGGGTATGGACCCCTCCGGTAGTCCCAGCTGGTCGGGACGAGCTCCCACGCCCGCAGAGTCCGCCGCGGCTTCAGTGACTCTGGCGCAGCTCCTGCAGCTCGTCCAGCAGGGCCGGGAGCTCCCGGGTCTGGAAAGGCGCCATATCGCGGCGACCCCAGGCGAACCCACGGCGTCCGAGCTCCCGCGGAGGCCCAAGCCCTGGGAGGCCGCGGGCTCGGCCGAGGGCTCCGCGCCACCGACCCCCAGGTACGGAGAGAGGAAGACCCCGGAGGAGCCGGCTCCGCGCACCACGCAATGACGGCATCTCCGTAAATGTCCAGTAGTGGGTTCTGGAGGCTCGAGATCCTTTGCAGCTCTGGGGTCTGGACGGCGTGGCTGTCCGGCGTAAAGTCGGAGTGAAATCCGAGTACTGATCAGTTACTCATCTTTTGTGCTTTCGCCCTAACCGTCTCAGGTGGACCTCAAGCCTGGGAGTGCCACCGGCGTTTTCTGCGTTATTTCCGTACCATGATATTCATTAAAAATTTTAAAAATCCTGTTTCAGCCCTTAAATGTAATTGAAACAAATCTCATACTATCTGCGGTGCACAGAGGTGTTTTCATTTCAAAAATGCAACTTAGGACACACTGCAGCCTCACCCACTGGGAACAACGTCTTAAAAATATTGAGAACGTCCTTTTGTCTCGGGCTTCAGCTTATTCTGGTGGTTGTGGAAGTGAATTTGTGACTCAAGTGGCATTTTGATTTTAGACAGCCATTTCCCAGAATGACTTAAAAAATACACTAAACAAGTGATATCTCAAAGCGTTATAGAATAGCCAATTAACAAAAACCCTAGAACCCTTGGCTCTGCGAACCAGGTGGATACAGCAACGGGTCATGAGGCTCCCAGCACCGACTCTTCGTTCACTTTTCCCAGAAATAAGAATAGTCCCATTTGTTCAGGGACTGGCGTACCATATTACACCATACAGAAATGCAAACTTTATAATCTTATTTATATATAATTCTAAGTTAAAACTATTATTTTGCTTAATCCTTTTCACAACCATGGGAGGCAGGCAGGCTAGACTATATTGCCCCAGTTTTAGAGTCAAGTGGAAGCAGTCCCGTATTTAGTATAAGGCAGATCTAGGATTTAAACCCTGGGCTTCCCCACAGCTGCTCTTCTCCCATGACCCTTCACTACGTCACTTCAGTCTGATTTCACAATGCTTTACAGTGTAAGAGTAACAGCCACGCCAGGCCTGTAAACTCCTGAGCCAACCAACCTAATAAATAACCTTGTAACTTGGCACATTTTAAGGCATTGTTGTACTGCGTAGTTTCAGATACATTTGAGGGCCCCATGAATCAAAGCTGATCTTAACGGACCAGGCAACACAATGGGTAAGCAAGTTTTCACGTCTTAGCCTGGGCCTGGCACACCCTCACCAACTGCTCAGATGGAGGGTTGGGGAAACTGACTGACCGGAACAAAGGGAAGACTCACTAGGGGGTAGACACTGATGGTAGCAGGAGCAGGATCAGACCCCTTTTTCAAGTGCATGTCCCAGGAGCCCTAGCGTTTTAATGTTGGTCTGTATCATTACCAGCAGGAGAGAGAGCAATACTTCTGGAGTCTAGAATATGCAAGGAAAGGGACAAAATAAGCTCACCCTGGGCCTAAAAGACCAAATAGTCCAATTTCATCCATGCAAAACCAAAGGAATGGTTCATTCTTTCATAATTTTAAGGCTATTTTATTCAATTGCCTGACATAGAAATGCCAACATACACTTTAATTGTATAAAACACAAACATGACTGTCAAAAATATAATTCCCAAACTTTCTCGTGTTTTATTGTATTTTTTTCCCCATTACTATTTATTTCAATACCTTCTTCCACCTCCAACCCCACCCCGTCATGACTGGGGTTTTTAAGCAGACTAATCATCAGGGAAACCAGAAAATTACACCCTAAAGCCCAGCGAAAATAAATGGCGGGCAATTCCCCGTTAAACACAGCACAGGGCCTTACACTCTCCTACTGTGTTAACAGGAAACACCCATTAGCCTGAAGGGAAAAGCTCTAGTCTTCCACAGGACGTGGAACCAGGTGAGCCTGGGCAACCAATCCTGATAATGCAGGACTTTCTCATGTAAAATGCGTGCATCCCTGAGAAGAGCCTATGAACACCCTAAACTTTCAAGCAAAAACTGGAGTGTATGCATGTTTTCCTGGGGAAATGGTCCTTCCTTTCTCACAGATCCAAGAAGAGGCTAAAATCTTGAGCTATGGTAAGGAAGCCACTAGATGTATTTAGAGCCAGCCAAGCTTGAGAGCTTGCAAAGCTGTCACTGAAAAGTTGGAACACGGACTCACAACAGACACAACTGAACACTGTTTTTGTGCTCTTCTAAATGTATTTCAAGTTTTTTCCAAAACAAGACCTTAGGAACTCCCAGGTTCAAGCACACCTCTGGGCGTGGCATTCAGGCTTGGGTATCCATTCATCAACACTAAACCCATGGGTAGAAGATGGGACAAAGCAGGACCCCTCCTGCATGGCATGAGTCCTTCGCTGATTTCAAAGGTGGCGGCAGGAGGGGCCAATGTGGAAAACACACTAGACTTTTCCTTTGGATCTGGGCTGTGGTAAGAAGTGCCTGCTAGGACCATCTTTTCCCTCACTCTTCCCCTCCAGTTTCTGAAGATATAGCAGAAAATAATCTTCTTTGAAGATACTGGATATTTCCAAAAAACAAAAGCACAGGTTTCCAAGGCATTGTGCTTTCAGATATTCTGGGAGAAAGAAAAACACAATTTTGTTAATACAGATTAACTGTGACTTGGTAACCACAATAAAGAGCAAATTTCAGAGTTAAGACTCCTTCAACAAAATAGATTAAATAGTTTAGATCTTCAAATCCTGTTTAAAATTCATTTTTATTTTTTGTATTAGAACAGACTACTAGCCACCTGACTTTTGTGCCTTGCTTCCTATTTGATAATTATGAATATATAACTGAAAACTTACAAATGGAACACCAAGCCTTATAAAGCAATTTCACACGTAAGATACAATTCAGTCCCCACAGGTTTGCTGTTAGACAGGAAACACGCTAAGAAAGGCCCACCCCCTTGCACCCGCTTTGCATCACCATAAGAAAAAGCTGATGGAAATACACCAAGTTTGGAATCTAACGCTTCCACTGCTTATCAGTGCTGGGTTCTGCCTATGAGTAACTTGCATTTTTTTTCTCCATAAAATTAGGTCTTTTACCTTTGGTATCTTATCCTTCTAGATCTCTCTATAGGCTTGGCTTGATCTTTAAGATGGTGTTCTTGGACAACGAAATTAAGCATATGTCCCATTTGCATTATTGTGTAAAATTCATTTTTAATATTACTCCCCCAATATAAAAAATTTTTTTTGTCACTCAACATTTTCTATCCTGTAATTCTTGGGATACACACAACCCTGTCCTAACCAGGCATTCACCCTTCCAAGCATGTCTCCATCCATTAGACTTGTAAATACCATCCTCCTCTCTCCCCGCAGCGCCAAAGTTCCTCTCAAACACAGGCAAATGCAAAAAGAATTTTTGAGTGACAAGACACGATCCGCAAAGTCAGCCCAAGGGCAGTGTGCAGCCCTGCCTCACCTGGGTTTAGTTCAGTTGTCGGATGAGCTGATTGATGCGTTCACCTCGATAACCAGGTGAGCCCATCTCCTTGAGGAAGCCTACTCTATTCTTGGTCGCATGACGGGCCACTGAGAGCTGGAAAGGGCATAAGAACCCTGAGATCACCTGGAAGTTCTTCCCCGGGAAGGCAATTTCATGAATGAGGTCTTCCAAGCAAATGACACCAAACTTCCCTAAGAGACACAAGGGCAGTTTCCCTTATTTAACATTTCCCCAGCATATACTGAGAGGCTCTTGTATGTCAGAGCGGGGCACTCTGGAAGGTTCTTGGGACCTCAAGAGGCATATAACCTCATGCTAGCTGGTGCGGCTTAATGGACGGAGTGCCAGCCTGCAAACCAAAAGGTTGCCTGTTTGATTCCCAGTCAGGGCACAAGCCTGGGTTGCAGGCCAGGTCCCCAGGTGGAAGGTGTGCGAGAGGCAACTGATGTTTATCTCTCATACACTGCTGTTTCTCTTCCTGTGTTTCTCCCTCCCTTCCTTCCTCTAAAAGAAGATAAACAAAAATCTTTAAGAAAAAAAAAAGTATTACCTGGACCCCATACCAGGTTCCCCAAAGATCCCTGCTTTTTACCAACACTGACCCCTAAGATGCAACACTTACCCAGGTGCTCCTCAATCACTGTGTTGTCTGTCAAAGGGATGACTTTATTTTTGATCTTGGCTTGTCCACGTTTCAAGATGAGTTCCCGGACAGACTTCAGATTTGGAAATCTATTCAAGGCAGGAAAAAGGACAGCCTTAGCTATCTCCTGACATGCTGCATTACACTGGCCACTCAGTCCTGCAGCCCGGTTGAGGAAGAGAGTCTTTCAACTACCCCTTCCCCTCACCACGAAATGCCCTGGATTCACACCGCAGCTGGGATGCTAGGGGAAACACAATGAAGAGGGAAAAAACCAGAGTGGCCCTGACTATGTAATTAGAAATTAAAATTTATGGACATAAATGTTACCAGGCAAAAATAAGCCCTGGCTTATAGTCTAGGATGTGGGCCTTAGCTGACCCTCTACTCAAGATGGTACAAGAATTGGAAATTAAATTCAAGCCTTTGTTAGGTTTTAATATTCGAAGGAGTACTACTCTTACACAAGCACTGCTCCTACTTCTGCTTCAAGACTCCAAGAATTAGTATTACCCTACTCATCTTACTCAGCCTCGGCCTACGCAGGAACAGGCCCCGCCACGGTCCCGTTCATGGCACACTACCAGCAGCACTGACATCTCCTGCTCTACCTGCCCCAGAGTCCAAGGTTCCCAAGGCTAGCCATTGATTTCTGGTGACTGCGGTCACAGCGAAGTGTTCTCTCAACCCAGCAACAAGAGGCTGGGAGAACAGTGCCCCGTGCATCCTAATGTTCTCCACATGCTCAAATATAATATCAAACATGAATCCACACACACAAAAAGGCTTACCCCCAGGTCACATAAGGTTCCACTATACGCAGCGTTTTTATGGTTTGGGGGGTCACTTTGAAAAAGACACCACTGAAAATCTTCTTCAGGCGAAGCCTTGCAATAGTCCTCTGTACCATTATACTCACTCCATTAATCCTGAAATGAACAGCAGAGGTAGTCAGGCTCTGTTCCATTTATGTCAGCCCAACAAGCGCCTATGCAATGTGTGTCACTACTGGACATCCAGAGAATAGGACACAGACTGTGCCTTACAGCGTCAGCTGAACAGGAGGCAGCTAAGTAAACAGATCATTTCTACACAATGTGGAACAGTGTCTGAGGTGCTAAGGGAACACAGAGGTAGTCCCTGAATTTGTGGCGTGTTGGTGTAGGGGACGTAGGGCCATGTGTGTTAAGCTAAGGAAGCTGGACTTGCTTCTGTGGACAGTAAAAGTTTTGGGAAATTTTAAGTAAAAAAGACATCATCAGATTTCTTTTTGGGCACAGAAGACAGAATTTAGAGTGTGGCAGCAGAGGCAGGGAAACAGAGCTAATGCAATAGCCCAGGGAAGAGACTATGGACAGTGGTAGGAAGGAGGGCTCAGAAGTAGTCAAAACCCACAGGTTTCTGGTTTGGGTGATTGGGTAGGGTCGATAGGAAGAGGCAGAACTGTATGTGTGGGTAGGAGTGGGTAAGGAAAACACCATAAATGTGTAAAAAGCTTTTCATTTTACTCTCCCTAGCACTGAATATGCTCTATTCACTGGACTTTGGTTCAGTTCCTAGAAAGATGCCTTGTTTCCCCCACTTCAGGACTTTCCGCATCTACACTCGAAAGCCTTTTCCAGACGCTGGTGAACTCCTTACACGTTTGCAGGCCTCAGCTTTAAGTTCCTGCTTTAGAAGAGTGTCCTTGCCCTGGCTGCTGTGGCTCAGTGGACTGAGTGCCAGCTTGCAAACCAAAGGGTCGCTTGTTTGATTCCCAGTCAGGGCACCTGCCTGGGTTGTAGGCCAGGTCCCCAGTGGGGGTGTATGTGAGGCAACTACACACTGATGTTTGCCTCCCTTTTTCTTCCTCCCTTCCCCTCTCTAAAAAAACATTAACAACAAAAAAAAAATTTCCTCAAGAAGTACACATATTGCCCCTCTAATCCAGCACTTGACCCTCATAGTACTTAATGTATTTTCTCTCTCTTTTTTTTTAAGATTTTATTTATTTTTAGACAGGGGGAAGGGAGGGAGAAAGACAGGAAGAGAAACATCAATGTGTGGTTGCCTCTCACATGCCCCCCAATCCAGGCATGTGCCCTGACTGGGACTCGAACCAGCGACCCTTCACTTAGCAAACTAGCACTCAATCCACTGAGCCACACAAGCCAGGGCCACTTAGTGTATTTTCATGTCTATTTGCCTAAGATCAGTCTCCTTAACCTCCAAGACAAAATCTATGCTGAGCTCAACCCTGAATTCCTAGCACAACTTGCCGTGGTGGTTTAAGGCCTATTATCTCATCTCCCTAGAAAGGGGTCTAAAGCTGAATCGAGAGTCTGCCCCAACCACCTACCTTTGGATGCGTACAACAAAGGCCAAGGAATGTTCATCTGGCACTTCCAAACCATGAGGTTTCACTTCCAGTCGTCTGAGGCGCACCTTATCACGCTGTTGCCGCCAGGCATCGTGTAGGAACCATTCCAGTCGCTTAAACTTGATATCTTTTCCTTTCCTCTGCTACAGAGAAGGCAGACCATCACCACTATTTTCTGTCTCCAATCATCTCTACTTCCACAACAATAATTCATTAGTCTAGTAATAGAGCTTATTTCCCTCTATGTTCTGCAGAGTGGAGCAAACAAACTCCTTTATTCTTATACAAAAAATGAGATGCCCAGGTAAAGATGTAGTTGTGAAAACGTGGGAACTACCGGGGAAAGTCTCTGATAAATACATTTGTTCATATGCTGTTAGCTAATGTTTATCAACAAACGTTTATGGAACCTAATATTTAAGCATCATAAAGTACAAAACAAGCAGGAGTTTGTTCTGTTCCCTGCCTTCAAAATATGTTATTTATCCAAAAACACTCAGCAAATAGCAAAACTGGCACACTTATAAAAACCTGTTTTCTTCCAGCTACACAAGTATACCTGGTCTCTCAAATCACTTGGCATGAACCTGGATGGTGCAAGCTCCATCCCATGTTTTCCATAACAAACTATTCCAGTGTTTTGCCCAAAGAAAGTGTTTGATAAATATTTGCTAAATGAAGATATGAACCATTTATTTGTACAATGGAACCAATGTGGGTGGGTGGGGAGACTAAATCTAGTACAACCCAAGCTGGATAAAAATCACCAAATACAAATTCTGATGCCACCCTCCTGGTTCCCCACCATTACCTCTTTCCTTGCCAAAAGTGCCTGCTTTGCCTGGGTGGCTTTGAGGGCCTGGTAAGCCTTCCTTTTTTTCAGGAGATTTTCTGGAACCAAAGGGATCTTTTTTCTTTGCCTGACACAGAAAATTGAGATAGCGACAATATTTAGGAAACGAATCTTCAATGAATTTCCAAACCACTTCCTAGGCTTCGGGAAACATTACTGTCTTCAAATTTCTAGGAACTGAGACTCTTCTGAAAGCTGTGGTTTCTGACTCCAGTCCTCAAATGGATCCCTAATGTTCCCTCGGCCCCAAAGCCTTAAAAAATCATGAACCCTTTAGGCACTGTTCGTCGTATTGTCAATGCAGTTTTTACTGACACAGCCTTTTATAAACACTCTCAACAATGACATCTTAGTATAACGCTGTGAAGATAGCGATAGGGGGTGGGAGTGAAAGTAGGGGGTAGGGGAGGGGACGGTGTAGACCCATCTGCAGCGGGAATACCGAAGTCAGCCTGGGCAACTCCGGCACGCACCAGCCCCGCGTCCTGGAAGCCAATCCTCATCCTTCCTTGTAATCCGAATTTGACGATGACCCCCTCTGTCCGCCCCACCCCCCAACCCGACGGGTCCTCACCCTTCACCTCCCACCTTCTGTAATCTGGAGTCCTTTCTATTCTCTCCCTTCATTCCGTAAGTATCCTTGTTTTTCGCCACCGAGAAATAAATATCGTGGATGGCACTGGATGTTCAAGGACCCACGCCAGACATTCAAAGTCCCAAATACTCACTCTCCCTCCGCCATTGTCGCGACGCTGGGGCTACTGCGCAGGCGCAGTCATCACGTGGGGACGCGAGGAACCACTCTATATTTACTCGACCATAGAGGCGTCCTTTCCAGCTCACAGCTCGGATACCGAGCGCCCTCTTAGCAATAGCGAACTGCTGAGGTCTTGCTAAGTCCAATTCCTGCCGAGGATTGCACAAAGCTTTCTTCACACTGCTTCTAAGTATTCTAGAGCTCTATAACCTTCACATCTAGCCCTTTTCATTTAAGTTATATTCTCCTCCTGCTGGTGACTGGACTGTAAACAATGAAAAGCTTCCCACACTGCACCCACGACTTCCGGTGGAGGGTGTGCTCCGCTCCTCCCCCTTCCGCTGAGCTGCAGGACTCCAGAAGGGTAGACAGCTCTGGAATGCCTTTGGCCTTCTCGCTCGCTGCGGGGAGAGCTGGGGCCCGCGGCTTTGGCTTTCCTGTGTCGGCAGAGGTGTTGTGGACGACTTAGGGCTGTAGAATGCAGCTCTGATTCTGTCTGTCCAGCTCCAACAGTGAGCCCTCGCTTTGTATCTTCGTTTCCTTTATAAAATGAGTATAATAATGAACCTTATCTAATAGCGTTACGAAGGTTATATGAGTTATTTTGTATAAATCGCTTAGCACAAAGTCTGACGGTAAGCAGTCGACACTATGTTAGTTATCGGTGCTGGACCGAAAACTAGAAATTCCTCCTTGTCATCTCAGAACATTCCCACTTACCACCTGGAATATGCTTATTTATCTCTTCGTCTTTGTAAAGCAACGAAAAATAACTCAAATCCTGTCTTTTCTGAAAACTTCCAGAGGATGGCGTGTGTGCATCGATGTGCATAGGAGGCACCTGAGGATCTTGTTAAAACGCAGATTTTTATTCAGGACGGGGTGGGGGATTCAGGTAGATGGCATTTTTAACATGCTGCAAAGTGATGGGGGCTTCAGTCTAGACTGCATTTTGACAAGCAAGGTTCGGGTAGTCTCATTCTCTGAATTCCTTCAGCACATTATTATTATTATTTTTTTTTACATTTTTCATTTCCCCTCATGACACTAGAAAGGCAGAGACCATGCCTGCTTTGCTCACCTCTGATTCAAACAGTCTAGCCCAGGTATCTTAATTTTGACACTATTGGCATTTTGGGCCAGATAATTGTTATGGGTGCTATGCTTTGCACTGTAGGATGTTTAGCTGCATCCCAAACTTCCACCCACTATAAACCAGTAGCATCCCCATGCCAGTTGTGACAAAAATGTCTCCAGGCATTGCCAAGTATCTAACACAGTGTATTTAGCCTAAGAGTCTAAGGCAATGTTATTATTTGACAGTCAGCACTTATAGATTGCCACAGAATTTACCCTGTACTGTTTGGCTTATTTTTTCCCCCTAATTAGATTGGGTGCTCTGAAGGCAGGGAACTTGTATTCTAATTCCCTGAATCTTCTACAGCACCCATCAGGGCAGTGGACACCTGTGGGGGCATCATATTGGTATGTGCTATGTAACTAGCGCAACCAGAAAGATAGTGCCACTCACAGAGCTCATTACCTGATGAATAAATATCAAGGACAATACAAACTTTAGGGTCACAGACTGCGATGAGAGGCTTACTCTCACTCAAATCTCACCATATGTTTTAGTTTGTAAAAGGCCAAAAACAGGAGGGTCACCTAACAGAAATAAGTCAGTATTTTCTAATTTCCCCTGTCTACAGATAAGACGTAGGTTCTGTGGTACTGACAACCTTGGAAGAGGAGGAATTTCAGGGATATCAACAATATTCCTGGCCGCAAAGACTTTAGAGGCCAGGATTCAGAAAAGGTTTTCCAGTGCCAGCAGATGGCGCTAGGAGAGTACTTATTCTAAGGGCCTGAGACATTGTTCCGCCGGATTGATCAGAGAAAAACGGATACGGCCCTCTTTAACCAAAAATTGTTCACTAATTGAACGTGTCTACTCAGCTTTTGCCATGTGCTCAAACTGTAGGTGATATACATGTTTTTGTTTGTTTGTTTTTTCAAAGTGAGGTTACTTAATGAGAATGTGGCATGGGCATTTACAGCCTCAAAAATCTTACTCTTTTTAGCTTGTCCTCAGAGGCCTCTGTTCTCTTGACCACTTCAATTGTCCATCGCTAGGGAATGATTAAATTATGGAAAACTATGCAATTATATGCAGTGAGGTAGGTCTTCAAAATCTCAATGGCAGATGTTTTTTCGTTTTTTGGCATGCTGACATCCATTCCCATTTCCTAACAGTATCCCATTCTCTTGTGGACTGGTCTCTCCCTTATCCCGTACATTCTTGTGGAACTGGAGTACCAAACCCACGTGCTTGCCCTCCATAGGGGAGCTGAAAGTATCTCTGGGAGATCTGTTCCAGTCCTCACACCTGCCCAGTGGGAGGGGCATAAGACCCTAAACTTTTCCCCTTTGGTATTGAATCTTGAGCAATGATGATGGAAGAAATGTAGGTTTGGGGCAAAACTTAAGAATCTCCACCTATGAGGGAGACCGCCTGGAATTTCCTTGTTCCTCTCCTTCTCTTGCCTGGTGCTTTTTCAAACTTCCCTTCAATCTTAATCCTTCCTATGAAACTCCTTTATGCTAGTTAACCAGATCTGTTTCTGTTGCTTGCAACAAAAGAATCTGGACTATAATATTTGCAACATTTGGAAAATAACCTGTATTGTATTGTGTTTCAAAAAGCAAGATACAAAGTATGTCTAAGAGAGTGGTCATAGTTGTTATTGTTGTTTCTCACTGTAGATGTATTTGCATGTAACAGTTTTGTGAGGATATATGAGCCCTGGTTTAGTGGATTGTGGTCTAGTGGATTTAGTGGATTGAGTGCTGGCCTCTGAATGAAAGGGTCACTGGTTTGATTCCCAGTCAGGGCACATGCCTAGGATGCGGGCCAGGTCCTCAGTTGGAAGTGTGTGAGAGGCAACCACACATTGACATTTCTCTCCTCTTTCTCCCTCCTTTCCCTTCTCTCTAGAAATAAATTAAATATTTTTTTAAAAATAAGAAAGTGTAGATGGGTGTTATTTTTGGAAAATGGGAGTTGGGCCTGGAATGGGAGCAAGATTTACATTTTGTGGTATGCCTTTTCTTTATCGCATGTTTTTTTAGTTTAACAGAAAAGCTCTCTAGGTTCTTGTGATTTGCCTGTTTTAGAAACTACTTGACTATATATTTTTTTAAATATTTTTTATTGATTATGCTGTTACAGGTGTCACAATTTTTACCCTTTTGCCATCCTCTGCCTGCTACCCCTCTCTCCTTCCCTGCAGTATTCCCCTCCCTTAGTTCATATCCATGGGTTGTGCATATAAGTTCTTTGGCTACTCCATTTCCTATACTATTCTTAACCTCCCCCTGTCTGTTCTGTACCTACCAGTTTGTACTTCTTAATCCTTGCACATTTTCCCCCTTTCTCCCCCTTTTCCCTCCCAGCTGATAACCCCCCAAATGAACTCCATATCTATGATTCTGTTCCTGTTCTGCTTGTTTGTTTAGTTTGTTTTTTAGATTCAGTTGTTGATAGTGTACATTTGTTGCCATTTTAATGTTCATAGTTTTGATCTTTTTCTTATATAGTTCCTTTTAACATTTCATATAATAATGGGCTTGGTGATGATGAACTCCTTTAGTTTTACCTTGTCTCAGAAGCACTTTACCTGCCCTTCAATTCTAAATAATAGCTTTGCTGGATAGAGTAAGCTAGGTGGTAGGTCCTTGCTTTTCATCACTTTGAATAGTTCTTGCCAGTCCCTTCTAGTCTGTAAAGTATCTTTTGAGAATCAGTTGACAGTCTTATGGGAATTCCTTTGTAGGTAACTCTGCTTTCCTCTTGCTGCTTTTAAGATTCTCTCTTTATCTTTAACCTTTGGCATTTTAGTTATGATGTGTCTTTGTGTGGTCCTCTTTGGGTCCAACCTGTTTGGGACTCTGTTTCCTGGCCTTATATATCTATTTCCTTCACCAAATTAGGGAAGTTTTCTTTCATTATTTTTTCAAATAAGCTTTCAAATTCTTGCTCTTCCTCTTCTCCTTCTGGCACCTCTATGCTTTGGATGTTGGTTCATTTGGAGATGTTCTAGAGGCTCCTTATACTGTCCTTGTTTTTTTATTCTTTTTTTCTTCTTGCTGTTCTGGTTGAATCCTTTTTTACTTCCTCATGTTCCAAACCATTGATTTGCATCTCGGCTTCATCCCCTCCACTGTTGATTCCCTGAGGATTTTTCTTTTTTTCATTTAATGCAACCTTCATTTCTGCCTGGGTCTTTTCCAGGCTGTTGCAGTACCCAGTGATTTCTTTCAGCATCCTGATAACCAGTGTTTTGAACTCTGCACCTGATAGGTTGCTTATCTCCATTTCATTTAGTTCTTTTCCTGCAGTTCGGTTCTGTTCTTTCATTTGGCCCATATTTCTTTGTCTCCTCAATTTGGCAGCCGCCCTGTTTGTTTCTGTGTATTAGGTAGAGCTGCTTCAACTCCCTGCCTTAGCAGCATGGCCTAGTGTAGAAAAGGCACCTGTCAATTGTGAGGGGTGGAGCCTTAGGCAGTCATCAGGGCAGGGCAGCCCATGTCACCGCTCTGTGGCTCTGTGGGGGGCGGAGAGGGCCCAGAGAGGGGACCGTGCAGGTGCCTGGGCTCTGGAGATTGCCTGGGAGGAAGCTGTCTCCCCGCACTCACCCCCTTGCCGGTCACTTCACTTTCCCCTCTTCTCCCCGTGTGCCACTTGTGCCCTTCCAGCCGTGGCCCTGGTGCTGAGTCCCAGAGCGGGTGGGTCTGCGTGAGTCCCAAGTCCTTGTGGGCCCTTTAAGAGGAGTCTCTTGAGAGTCCCACAGTTTCTTCCTCCACTCCAAACCACACTGGTTTTTACAGCCACGAGTTATGGGGACTTATCTTCCTGGCGCTGGAACCCTGGATTGGGTGGTCTGGTGTTGGGGGTGGGATCATTCGCTCCCGAGGTGTCCCTCCCGATTTTTATCCATCCCATGTGAATGTGCCTCCACCTCTCCTACCTGTCTGGATAAATGTGGCCTCTTTAAATCCTTGGTTGTTGGATTTCCATCCAGCTCGATTTTCTGATGAATCTGGGTGAAATTTATTTTGTAGCCTAGTTGTAATTTTTGCTGTAGTTGTCCGTGGTAGTAGTGAAGCATGTCTACTTATACCTCCATCTTGGCCCTTTGACTATGTTTAAGACTCCTTGCAGGGCCAGCATTTTGTGGTTCTCTGAATTGAGCCCAGGGCCCCTTGGCTGACACAGCCCACAATAAGTTATGTCAGTATTCCCTGCATTTCGGGATTATTTGGAACCCTACTCTTTTTTCACTTGAGATAATTGAGCAGTGCCTTCTCAGTAAAGCAAGACCACTACACCCAACACACCCGAGATGGGCTCCCTCTGTAGTTTCCTATCTGCCCCTACACCTTTCTTGGATGACAACCCTTCTGGCAGCCTACGTTGTTTGGTTCAAAGCTTTCTTTGTTGCTTCCTCATGGAGTGACACGGGTAACCGGGCAGTACGTGGGAAACATAGCAGGTCCCGGAATAACAATGTGTCGTCGTTAACATTGATGAGAGGCTGTAGGAACTTAACTCTCGTTTATATCAATTAGCTTGTGGTAAAATTGGTTTTGTTACAGGTTGTTTCGCCGTAGTTTCAAGAACCTATCAATGACCTTACGTGAGGACTTACAGTGTGAGAGCAGCCAGGTTAGCCTGGAGTTGGAGAAGAGAACATGGGTAACAACTTTTGATCTTGAAAAACAAGCATGAGGGAGCAAAAGTGGGGGGGAGAAAGAGAACAGGTGAAGGGCAGCAGCCTTTTGAGAGTCAGGAGTAGACATAGGAAAGCGAGGGTAGGAAGGAGATGGTGTGCTGTATGTAAAACCAAAAACGAAACCGGAAAAACATAAACCTCTTCTGAATTATTTCAGGTATAATGGAACATTAGCTTTCTCTACCTTCCATATTTCTTCAGCAACACCTCATTTTTACACTCTTAAGAAATGGAGGGTCAGGACAAGTCTTCCTACTTTACTGGGGAGGAAGCTGAGGCTGAGAGTGACTTGCCTGAAAATGTCTGATTATGTGTTAGGTGAAGTACTGGCACCGGTTTCGAGTCTGCTACCAAAGGCACTTTCTACCCACCCCCTTGTACCGCTTTCCTTGACTTTAAGGAAAAAGATTTTTTTTTCCAGAAGGATCTTCTTGCCTTTGCAAGTGTTGTCAAAGGCCAGATTACAGCGCTTGCCTATGAGGTATACAGATTAGGGTTTCTCAGAAACGCCTTTCACCAGTAGCAGCGTAGACACAGGCTATTCATATAACAGAATCCGCTTTATGCTACAAATGTGCCTCTACCACTTGTGTATACTGAACCAGGTTTCTCCACATATTTAACACTATAATTACAAAATTCATTTACCTTCATTCCTGCAGAAAGTATTTTTTCCCCCTCCAATAAAACCTAGGAAACTGTACTAAGAACCACAGCATGGAAATACAGTTTGTAGCCCTCAACCAAGTGGCAGTCCTATAGAAGTGTGGCTCCAGTTTCTTGTCTCTGGAACTCATCAGCTCCCAAATGTGATGTAGTTATTTGCTTGTTTTCTCTCAAGATTGTGAGCTCCTTGAAAAGAGACATCATACCCGAATTACACACATGTCCCCAGTGTCTAGTACAGTGCCTGTGGACTGCTCACAGGGTTGGTGGTTAATGCTCTCCACATTCAGCTGGGTCCCCTGGGGTCCTCACTCTGGAGCAGAACCAGAGCCAGAGCCAGAGCCAGAGCCAGAGCCTGGGCCTGGGCTTAGTCCCCTGAGGACAGCAAAGCTAGATCCGTTCGAGTGATGCTGTTCAGTGATCCCCAGATGGCGGTGTTTGTTTCTTTTTCTTTCTCTTTACCCCCAAGACCCCACTGACTACTTTCTCCACATCAGGGAGTACTAGGGCCCTTCTCCTGAAACAAGGCCTCCCACGTACAGGGCTGAGGGCTTTGACCATCCTCAGAGAAGATGCCTGGTCTCCCCCCTGGGCCTGCCCCTGGGAAAGAGACCAATCCTAACTAAGCAGCCAGGTGACCTTCCTTGTAACTCTTCATTCATGCCTCCCGCCCCCCGCATTGCAAAGGGCCTGAAAAGGGACAAGAATGTCATGATGAACACACATCCTTAGCAAGAAGAGAAGCATGACATCGGGGCAGCACTGCAAAAGACAGTAAGGGATCCATCCACTGATGTAATGATTCCAGCAACAATTATTCTAATTTCTGTTAGTCATATGAGGACAACTTCCTACTTTCACTATATATTGCTGCTGAATCTCGTGTCTAATGACTGCTGCTGCTTTAAGGGCGGCGGGGGGTGGGGGGGAGCAATGAAACTGTAGAGCAAGGGGTGTAAGTATAAATTCTAGGCCCCAAAGAAAAATTGAAGGAGTCCTATACCCTCACCTTTACAAATACATTTCATCCTCTGGTAGTTTACTTAACAATTTGGGTAGAGTCATACTCGTGAGGACAGGAACTCAGAAGAGCCTCATGGTGCTCATTTTACAGATAAGGTTACAGACGTTTCTCAATACAGTTTTGTCAAAGGTGTGACTCCAAAGAGAAACATGTTAATTCTGGAACAAGTTTTGTGTAAAATAGTTTTCTTTAACTACCCCATAGCCTTCCTTTTTTCTTTTTTCCCTCAGCCTTCTTGTCCTCACAGAAACAAAATAATATAAGACTAAATGGAAGAAAACTTCCTACAGAATAAAACTCCCTGATGTAACTTTTCAAACGACCCCGTTTGCCTTTCCCTAGTTAGGGAGGGACCCATGTGACAGCAGTGGGGTGGAGGTCAGAGACCTACAGGGCGGGGCTTTCTCAACGGCCAGTTTAATTTGCAACTGTTTGGAAAGGTCGATCAATGAAACCCTACCCCCTCACTGGTCAGGCTACTTTTTGGCAATGGCAAATAAATTGAAATGGAACTCCCACTGAACACTTACTTACCCGTATTCTTCTGGGAAAAGCAGCCATTCCTACTTGCAAAATCAAGACAATCACAGTTGCACATTTTCCCAAATCTTTGGCTGTATTGCAATGGTTGTTTCATTTTGTAATCTCCAACTAAACATTTCCTAACCATGGATTAACAATATAGTTACTGACTGGTTTCTTTAACAGTATTTATCCAACATAACAAAATAAACTGCAATTTGTTATACTTTTTTTTTTACAAAACATTTTATAAATATTTTTACAAAATGTATACAAAGCAATTTCAAGTGAGACATACTATACAAATGAAGGTATTTAAGCAAATAAAGCCCACACCACACTGACAGTGAGTGACGCGTCCTCTTTTAAGTCAAGTCAGTCTGTAAGGCCTCCCTAATCTAACAAAGTCTACTAAATTCTTCAGAGCTAAAATAGTTCTTTTTTCGTAATTGCCAGTTTAAAATTTGCTTTATCTTTAGGCAGTACTTAAGGACACAGAAAATCAAATGCTTAATAACAAATTCACACTTTTCCACAACAACAACAGAAAAAAAAAAAAAAAGAAAATGATTTTTGTCACTGAGTACAAGTAGTTCTAAAACTTAACTTTGACTATGAACCTGAACAACTGAAAGTTGGCCGTCCGAGGCTGAGCTCTCTTACCCTTCGCCGGAGGGGGCTCGACATGCAGGTTATGACCTATGTGCACATAACCTAATCACAGGAGTAAAATGTATTTCGTAATCTTCATTTGTCATTATCTAGAGTCTTTCCTCCATAAAAAGTAAACTTACATACAAGGACATAGAAATTTACAAGTTTCATTTTGGTAAATTAGGCTCTCCATTTGCTAGACAAGTGTTAGGGCTTAAAAACCCTTTAAGGTGGTACATAGAAAAGCTAGGGTTGGGGGCGATGGGACAAGCGAGGGAAGAGGTGCGACAAATGTACACGAAACTTATCTTGTCTCTTAAGAATTCCACTGATTTTCAGTAATTAATGCAACTCATTAGCAGCCTTCATGAAGGCTTCCAGGTATAAAGTTCCACAATGAGAAGAATTTGATTAGGAGGGACCATCTTTAAGTCTTGCTAGGAATTAGGGGAGTATGAGCCCTAAGGGAAGAAAAGCCTATGAAATCGGGGGTTCAGGGCTGGGTGTTACCCGAGGGCTGCCCAAACAGAATGTTCCAACTAGCAACACCAACTTATCTTTCTAATACATTACAATAAAGGAAAAAGGGGAGATCTGCAACGTGGACATTGGCACGAATAAGGAAAAAATGGTAACCCTAAGATGGCCCAGATTTTCCAATTTCTACTGGCCAGGGGGTGGGAGTAGGGAGAAGGTTCTCTGCTTTTATGAAGACTGGCTGTCTCACAGGGTGTCTTCATATGGAGGGACAAAGGGGCACGGAGAGTATAGGTCTTCTGTTGCTGTGTTTTCTAGTAATCAGAGGCCTTTCTTTCCATCACAGGGCAATCTGGAAAATAAATGTCCAACATGATGACCAATGGGAGTCATCCCCATTCTGGGGACAGCTAGAAGCAGATCCTGGCAGCGTGTCAGAGTGGAGACCAGTGGGTGCACCTCTGAAGCCAGAGAGATAAACAGAATAAATGAGAGAGGGCATACACATAAGGGGGCGTGTGTACACGCTATAACCACAATGACCTCCGGATCTGAACAGCTCAGGCACATTCACATAAACATGTGTGACAGTACATGTCAAATACCACTATGTAGCTTTCCCAAGGACAGTACATAACTGATGGTTACAATGACATTGAGAATAAAAGTAACAACAGAAATGGGATGACCTGGGGCAGGTACAGAAGAAAGGAAACCGGGGAAAGCTCCCTGAAAAGAAATATAAATAAATAAAGCAGTAAGTCATGTTCACTAATATGAACATAGGCCGAACACAAACCATGACAGGGCATGTCCTTTGGCTCTCAAGTGGGGATCCCACACCTCAGATCTCCCCTTTCCGTGGTGGGCTGGCCGGGCACCTTTGGTTTGTCTGTGTTTTGGTAATGATTGCTCCTAGGGGCGACTACTGTTCTCAGACGACAAGAAGCATAAACAAGGCCAAAGTCCCCTTAAGGTTTCAACTGAAAAAATTACAACATCGTTTTCAAATGAAAGTGCTTTGACACTTGGCTATCTGTGGTGGGAGAGGGTGCAAAGAGAGGTTAAATGAAACAAATCCCAGAGACAAACAGAAATGTACATCATATGTTGACTATATCCAATCATAAAATGCAAAATGCTTGTTTTTTCTCAATAGTTAACATATATATGCTTTTACATATATACATATTATATTCCTCATGGCTCTATCCCGGCCTCCCCTGTACACTGTGCCATTAACTGGTTTCCATTTTCCTTTATTTAGCCTGCTGAAATGATCTCAAGTCATGTTATTAAGAACAGAGCATTGCCTAGATGAAATCCAACACGGATATGCTGAAAAAGCATGAGGTTTTGCTGCAGGAGCATCGGGAAAGCACTTGAACAATGAACAAGGAAGCCCAGCAAATGCCCTGCTTGTGTGCTACCCCCTGCACTGAGGGGTCCCTGGCAGAGCCACCAGCAACCTACTGCTCAGAGATGGCTGAAGGGGAGAACCTCGTGGTTCCCCCTCCAACAAGAAAAAACCCCCAAAAGTCAAACTTTTAAGATCAGTGGGAAATTCTTTAAAAAGTAGCTTCTATCAGTCTTATTTGATTTTCTTTAATAAGTCTATTCTTTTCAAATGACTTATGATTGTCAGAATTTTACCCAGGGCCAAGTGTACTGTGATCTCATTGAGTTACAGTATTTTTAGAAAAATAAAACAGGTAAACAAACAAAAAAAGACTAAAAGCGCTTTCAGAACACTTGAAATGTGTAGGGCCTATCAGACTGCTTTCTAACAAGGATTAATTTCACTAAAGGATCTCCCTGTAACCACGATGAGTATTGCTCTTAAACAAAGAACAGGATTGAGATTAGAAAGGATAACCTGTGATGAAAATCAAGCAGTTCTGGAGAGAGGAGACCGGTTCCATTTGCTTTTGCCAGGAAAGACTGTAACTCGTCCGGGGCGGGGTCTGGGCAGAGGGGCAGGGAACGACTGCTGCTATTAACACTCTAGAATACTATTTACAGCTGCTTCTAAAATGGAGTCAGTTTCTACAACGCCTTCACTGTGGTCCGGGATGAACTTTTCCAGGCAGTTTTCCTGCGAAGCCATTGGAGAAAAGCTGGGGAAATCCAACTCAACAGAGCCACTAATGGCGGGGCCGCTCTGGGTCTGCCGCCCAGCCTTTTTGAGTTCCAAGATATTTTTAAATGTTGTTTCCAAACTCTTAGTGAGCTGGAGATCTGGCTGGGGCTCGCCCGACCCTTTCATGATGTCTGTGTGTAAAACTTCATTCTTTGGAGAATTCCTCAGAGTTTTGTCCTGGAAGGAATTGTTACACGTCATCTCCAAGCGAGAATCTGCTAGTACACTCGAGAGTTTGCGCTCAGTACCATGATCTGGTCTGGACGAGGTTTTCTGGGGCCCTTCAGGGACGGGAGTGCACTCGCTGCCCTTCATGGAGTCTCTCCGGCTGGTTTTCTCTTCAGACGCACTCCGGTACTGAACTAAGCCCACTTTGTCAAATTTCAGTGCTCTGCCGAGGCATTCGGTTTTTTTAGAAATGTTTCCTTCCGCGGAGACCACGATGTGATTAGGCACTGGATGAAACTGGTCATGATTCACTGGGTCTGTCATGCCTGCTTTGGCTCGGTCTCTGCTTTGGGCCTTGGCCGTGAGATGGAGAGAGCTGGTTGTTTTACTGCCATGCTGGTCGCTCCTGCCAAATTGTGTCTCCTGAGCAGCTTTATCAGGTTTGAAGGAACAACAGAAATCAGCCTGAAAACCCTCTGGAGATGGGAACAAAAAGAACATTAATGAATGGAGGAGAGAGTAAGGGCAATATAACAGACCCTCAATGGGTTCAGTGCAAAGCTGTCCCGCCCCAGGCCAGCCCTCCCCACCGAGATAGTCTTTCACGTCTAAGAAGATGCAGAAGCACAATACTCGAGGGGGCATCCCATAAAAGTAATGAGGGCTGTAGGGCCACAGCCTCTAGATGAGAAGCTTAGACCTGTTTGAAAAGGTGGCTGCTTGATGACAATAGGAAAAACCGGATGGGCAAAAAACTCCACTTGACTTAATCTCTTACTGTTATTTTTAAATAGTTTTTTAAATTAACGACTGCTTTGAAACAGTCTGCAAACGAACGAAATGCTAGTATCAACCTGATTTATTTCCTTAGGGTTCAGAGCTCTAGAAGGGGGCTCTGGGAGGGTGTGGGGTATCTTTGGGTGATGGCTCTTTAGTCGCTCTAGACTCATGTGAGGGGATCTGGCATAATTAGCTGCCTTTTGCCAGGAGCACAAAACTAAGGTCGATATGGATCCAAAATGACATCTGCTTGCAGGACAGTGGGGTACGGAGGAACCGTGGCTGTGGGCAAACACTGAACAGAGCCAGGCTTGAAGAGCCAAGGACAATGGCAAGAGAAATGTGAGTAAGGACTTGGGGGAGGCGGGGTTGAACGTTACAGGGGAAGGAAGTCGGACTGTTGCCATTATGCAAGAGCAGAGAAAGTGTTAATTCTGGAAGTAATGAGAGTGAAATAGGGCTTTGCTGACATCTTTGAAACCACAACCATGAATTTGTTCACCAAATCCCAAAATAAAAGACCTAGCAGATACAGCCTTGAAATCTGAAAAGCTGATTCCATCCAGCAAACAACTGGCCATGCTGGCCCAATGCAGAGGAGAACGAGGCACCTCCCTGCCCAGGCCACGCTCGTGTCCGAGGGGCTGTGACACAAAGTAGGAGGTGTCATCCGCAAACCCAATTCACTACAAAATAACAGATTTCAGGCTCTAAGAAAAAAGTCAGAAATCTATCCTACATGATTCTTTTCTGTTTTGGAAACATGTGAGGATTCTCCTAGGTACACAGCAATTCTTTTGGACTCTCCCTTTAGGCTGAGTGCAAGGATTATATATTCTCTTTGGAAATTTCTTGAGCCACAACAAACACAAGACAGACCCTTAATCTTTAAGTATCAGAAAAGTCATGAGTAGAGTGGAAGTAAAGCCACAGGAAAATACAGCAGTCCTCAAATAACGTTTTGTTCAATGCTGTTTTCTATATCATTGATGAAAATAAAAGCCCGATTCCCTGCCAGGGTGACTGTCCATGCGGAGTTTGCACGTTCTCCCCATGTCTGCGTGGGTGTTCTCTGAGGACCTGGGTTTCCTCCCCCACCCCGAAGGCGTGAGGTGAGTGGGGCTGGGTGTCTACAGTGTCCCCGTCAGAGTGGGTGTGGGTGTGCGATGCATCCTCCCATGAAAGAGTGTCCTGTCCAGGACTGGAAGAGAATTACCTTGTTGTTATTAATCTTTCTTGAATGCAGGCATAGTTCACATTTATTTCAATGTTTAACATTAGAAGTGTTTTTGGACCTTTACTTAGAAGCTGATGTTTCTGTGATCAAAGATATGCCATAGAAAATAACATTTTTAATATCAATTAGCCTATGATAAAATTGGTTGCCTTAGAGTTCTTTTGCATAAAATCAGTTTCCAAGAAACTAGAGATGACATTAAGTGAGACCTTACTGTAATAGTCCAATATAGGGGAATGGGTTACCTAAGTATCAAAATAATGCACTAAAATTTATTAAATATTATTTTGAAGACTTTAGCAACATGATAAAAACTTCAGATGGTTAAATGGAAGAAAAAAATAGAGTAAAATTACATCTAGCATATGACACATGATTATAACTACATATAAATGATATATGCAAATGGAAACCAGAACTGGAAGAAAATTTGGCAAATAAAAACACTTCTTTTATAGGATGGTGAAGGCATGGGTAAAATCTATATTGCATTAATTGTTATAATGTTATTTGATTTAAACAATTTTAGAGGCTAGAAAAAAGTACAGAGAATTCATTTTTAAAAGGCAGAATGTGGGTCAAATCTAACATGTATACACTCACCAGGAAATTGATGGGGTGAAAGAAAAGTACTTCAATTACATTGCACTTTCATAGCTTGTGGACAGGGACCATGTTTTACTGATTTTTTTCCTCTAACGATGCCATGTATACAGTAAGATAACTCAATAATTTGCTGAGGTTTAACTGCTTCTGGGAAGGCTTCTGACTTAATTTAGTTCTCAAAAATTAGAGAATGATTGAGCAATGTAAGTTTATAATGGGGAAAAATAATCGCTAAACTGAATGTAAAATTGTAGGTTGGATTTTGTAGAATACAGACCTTTTCAGAGTATTCATATTCTGCTCTCAACTCTGGGGTTTTTCTCCCCAGAATTCATGTTCTACCTTCAGGTTTCATACCAAAGGTGGGTCAGAGAGACTCCCCGAAGGCCCACAGCTCTGCGCCACGGCGGGAGCTCTCCTCTGCCTTCACCCTCGCGTGTCTTACCAGGGTCCACAAGTGCCAGGCGCTTGTCTCGGGACAGAGACGCTCTTTCCTCCTGGTTGAACATTCTATCGATCATCACCATCTCAGCGGAGGGATTAATCCGCTGAAAATAAGAGAGTCCAGTCATTTCAGGTGCCTTTTAACAAATGCAAACATCTCCTTGCATCTTTGGAACAACTAAAGTAATCAGAAATGAGGCTTCAATGTCTAAGTTCAGTCATGTCTTATTTAGTCACATTTTTCCTTGCTACATAGGATGCATTCTTAAAAATTGTGGTTTTTGGGAAAAAGTAATTTACACATTGGTACAAAATTCAAAAAAGTACTAAAGGGGATGTGAAAAGTAAGCCTTTCTTCTTTGCCTCACCTGTGCACCTCGTCTCCCCAACTCCCTGGAGGCACCCCCACACCTAAGAGTCTGATGTACTCTTCCACAGATGTATTATGCACATTCACACAGGTATGTTCTTATTTTTTTTTTGTATTTTTTGCACATGAATGGTAGCAACAATACACACTGTTCTGGTACGTTCCTTATTTCCCCTTCTGCTGATAATATGTTAGAACTCTTTTCTTTAGAATGACCTTTTTACTTTATACTCTGCTATGTTTTAACATGTGTTTTTTATTAGGGCTTTCCTTAAAATTATTTTTTGCTGTACAGAATCAAATCTTAAATTATATCTCTGGGTCTTATTTCATATGGAAACTCATAGCAGATACAGTTTGACCAAATAAGTGGTCCTTTCCTCAAAAATGATAGTCTTGTTGATGTCTCAGAGTTTTATTTCAGAAATGGTTGTCAATGCAAGAACAACTATTTCCGACTTTGGAGGCATAATTTTAAGTAAAAATATACTGGTAAATATATATATTTTAGTAAGCACAAACACACATAATACATATTTACACTCTAATGCATATGTGTATAATGTAGTACCACTAATCCCTCACAGTACATCTCCAAAGTTGACGTCAAAATGAAAACCACTTGTAAGAGACCAATTTATAGGTTAAAGCCCATCGGATTTTAGAACTGTTTCTAAAATCTCAGAATACGTTTGGTCTCTCCATCATTTCCTGAGATATCTTACTCCTTTCTCTAATTAATTAGTGCTTTAAAATCAATTTTAGTTCCTATATGAAGTGAAGAAAATGTTCTAGAATTAGACAGTGGTGATGTTTATACAATCACGTGATTCTAAGAACCATCAAATTGTACATTTGAAAGTTAAGTGTGAATTTTAAGGCACGTTAACAATTAATTAAAGACAAGACAAAAATTAATACTAACACTGCCATCAGCTAGTCTTTTCAGATGTTACCCTGAACAATAGTCACTGGCTGTGCCCAGTCCTCTCCCACACCTGTGGGCTGGTTCGGGGCGGTACCACAGCATGTGAGTGTGGACCACGGGTCAGTCAGATGGTCCTGGTCTGCATCCTGCTGGGCTAATTGCCCTACAAACTTACTGGCTATACGATCTTGGGCGAATTACTTAACCAAAGCCCTAGGTTCCTTATTTATACAGGAACAACCACAATAGCACTGATGGTGAGGGACCATGTACAGTGCAGTATTTGTTAGCTGCTGTTAGCAGTAGTAACAGTCAAGTGTAAGGTTTTCCACAAACTTAAGTATCTGTGCCTTTTAAACTATGCCAGGAAAATGTAGTTCCCTGGAGTTTTTCTCTCTGATTTGGTAGCTGTGACCTGTAGAGTTTAATAAACAAATATGCTTGGGAGCAGAATTTTACCATGGCGTCTTCCAGGAGCAGGCATCTGTATTTGTTAAGCATAGCTTGGGTCCTTTTTAGGAGCTGAGTGGCAACTGTTTCAAATTCATTGTCAACTTGAAAGAGAGAGAGAGAGAAATAGTAAGAGAGTGCAAATCACCCACTCAGTCTTTCATTTCTTAGGACTGAAATGCATTATTCCATTGTTCATACATGTCTTATCTGTGGCAATTTTCTCAGATTAGCTTTTCTGGGATTAAACATCATGCTTCTGCACTGCTTTCCCTCCCTGTCCACTGCTATGTGATCATGGAAACTCATTTCAATATTAGCTTATAATAACTTTTATCAAGAAGCCAAAAATGTAATATTTTTAACATCACCTATAAAAGTAAACCATATTACAAAGACAAGCAACAAATGTCAAGCCTCCAGTCTTTTCCAACAGGCTGAAAAACTAAAACAGTTGAAACAATGAAGTCCTACTGTCTGGGCTGGGCAGACCAGTTTTATCTAATGACACACAGTAGTTCAAGATATCTTGCAGGTCACGGTGCTGTGGCTCTGCCTTTGTCTGCTGGTCTCCAAAGGTCTCACATTTTCTACCTCACTTTTCTCAGATTCTTCATATCTCTGTTCAATTCTGGGTCTGCACCTTATTCCCTGGACCTCCCGGGGAAGCTCAGAGTGCACTGAGATCATGACACTCAGATCGGAGACCCCGGCCAGGGGAGGAAGGCTGGCGGCAGCTCCGGGAAGGGCCAAAGCAGTGGAGGGGTCTGGCAGAGGCAAGGCCCGGGAGTGGGGGCGGGAAGGAGGGCAGCACTAAGCCACGCAGCTGGGAGAGGCGGAAGGGCCACGCATGAGAATGGGCTGAGTTCTACATTGGGATAAGGAGTCCTTATCCTTAACCTTTTTTTGGCCAGTTTCTTGACATACAGCAATGTCTTGGACTGACTTTGGGACCTCAAGGAGTGCTTCTGGGGGCTGAAGGATCGATCTAACTCATAAAACTGGTATTAAGAGCTAAGGGCATGCATTCTGTCTAAACACAAGGACTATGCCTAAGTCATTGCGAGCGCCTGCTTCAGAGCCATCCCACTTGCAGCCACCGTTCCAAACAATGCTTTCAATTCATTGCCCCCCAAATTTGCCCATTAAAGACTCTGACGTTGGGGTACCCACCACAGAATATGGAGAAGAATAAGTCACAATCCTAAATGTGGACCGGGAAACGGAGTAAACAGAGAACAAGTTAGGTCTGTGGTTAAAAATGATAACCTGGCTACCAGGTGGGGGCTCTGAGCTCTCACTCTCCTGTGGGGCACCCTCAGAGGGGGCCTGGCGTCAGAAGGCCTCTGGGGTTACAGTCTGATTACCTTTCGTCAAGTCCTCCTCAGTGGGCATGGAGCCCTGGCACACGTGGTAGGAGAGCAGCCTCTGCACCGCGTCACTTAGTGACTGGAACTGACTTTTATCAGGCGTCACAGCATGGGCTTGGTCCCTCTGCAGCTGCTGGAGGACGCTGTAAAAGAGGGACTGCATGTCAGTGAGAGGCGTGTTAAGAAACTGCATCCTCTGTACGCAAAGAGAGAAAGACACACACGATTGTTCTTCTTTACAGGATAGCAGTTGTGTTTTTCTTCAGTTTTATACCTTGTATACTAGGGTGGGTTTAGGGTTCGTTCTAACCATCTCCACAATGGACTCACACTGTGGCCCTGGCGTCAAAAGCCCAGTGTTCCCACCAACCTTGTGGGGGCTCACACACCTTGGCAATGCCTGAGCATCTAAGGCCAACTAAGCTTATGCTAACATTTCTGTTCTGAACATAGGAGCTTATCAAACCATGTTTCTGGCCAACCAAAGAGGATGTGGTATGCTAGAAAGGCAAAAAACTCTTCTCCTTTAGAACAAAAGAGTAAACAGTAGCTCAAACTACATTTGAGATATTATAGGTCCTGATGGAGACAAGCTATAGGAAAAGACTGTCAAAGTATATTTTTTAAAATATTACATATATCATATAACCTGACTTCTGTTGTATATGTATTAAAGGTTAGGAACCTAGAGAAATGTTCAAAACGGGTCATTTCCAAGGTCACTCACAAAGCTCCCTTAGTTAGTTGTTTTGCAGCAGGCCTCTTCTGTCCTCCTGAATGACCATCCACCTAAACACAAAACATACCTCTTAGTATTCCGTTTTGGTGAAAAAATAAGCAGAATAGTTCCGACTGGTGTGGCTCAGTGGGTTGAGCGCCAACCTGTAAACCAAAATGCTGCTGGTTCAATTCCCAGTCAGGGCTCATGCCTGGGTTGTGGGCGTGCAAGAGGCAGCTGATCCCTGATTCTATCATTTCTTTTGCACATCAGTGTTCCTCTCCCCTCCCTTCTCTCTAAAAGTGAATAAAGTCTTTAAAAAAGACAAAAGAAGAAAATAAGCAGAATACAGACACATCTTTTGAATACTTTCAAATCCCCATCAAGAGCATACTCTATGAATGTAGAATTTGACCTGCTAAAAAATTAAACAAGCAAGCCTACAGACTCATGTAGTGAAGTTGCACTGTGTCAAGATTACAGAAATATGTGCTATCAGTTCTGTGGAAGGACTCAGATTGGACCTTAAAGCCTGACCCCAACTCCCTCTACAAATGCATCATTATACTTTTGAAGAAGTATATTTGTGGATACCAATGCCATGAACATCTGAAAATTCAGTAGATATTACCTAATTCATTTTCTGAGGTAAATAAGGGAACAAACATTTTTGAGCTCCCGTTTCATACAATCAGGTGTGTAATCTAGTAGGCATTTCTCTATCACATTAAGGAAACAAGTACGCCCACATGAGAACCTGAGAACTGAACCAGTACCTGCAGTGAGTGGTCCAGGCAGGCACAGATTATAGCAAGTTTCATTAAACTACTAATTGCTAAGTTTGATGGAGAAGTAACTAAGGCCTTAGCACAAAGATTTTCAATGTTTTTCATCTCATGGTACATACAAATAAACTAATTAGCAAATTCTACAGCACACCAAAAAATAAATTTTTTGCTGATCTGAAAAAAAAAAATAGGTATAATTTTGGGGACTTCTGGCCAAGGTGGACATGTAGGTAGATATATTTTTGCCTCCTCAAACAACCAAAAGAAGGACAACAAATTTAAAAACAAAAAATAACCAGAACTGCCAGAAAATCAAACTGTATAGAAGTCTGACAACCAAGGAGTTAAAGAAGAAACATTCATCCAGGAAGGTAGGAGGGGCGGAGACGGGCAGCCCCAGCGGAGAGGATGGGTGGCAAGGCAGTGGCTGGCGGTCCGGGTGGTCCCACATTTCCATGCAGATAAAAAAGGAGGAACAGCTGGGGAGTAAGACAGACCATACAATCCAGGGTTCCAGTGTGGGAAAAGAAAGCCTAAAAACCTCTAAAGGTAAAAACCAGTGGGTGTTGTTGTGGCGGCAGGAGAAATTCCCAGCCTCACAGGGGAGTTCGTTGGAGAGACCCATGGGGTCCTAGAGCGTGCACAAGTCCACCCACCAGGGAATCAGCACTAGAAGGGCTCAATTTGCTTGTGGGTAGCGGGGGAAGTGACTGAAAGCTGGCTAAGAGCCAAGCAAGAGGCATTGTTCCCTCTCGGACCCTCCCCCACAGACAGCATCACATGCAGCGACCTGGGTTGCCCTACCCTGGTGAATACCTAAGGCTCCACCCATTCCAATGTAACAGGTGCACTGAGACAAAGAATATGGTCCAAATGAAAGAAGAGATCAAAACTCCAAAAATGGAACTGAGCGATGAACAGATAGCCAACCTATCAGATACAGAGTTCAAAACACTGGTAATCAAGATGCTCACTGAATTGGTTGAGTATGGTCACAAAATGGAGGAAAAGGTGAAGGCTATGCAAAGTGAAATAAAGAAAACTATACCTACAACCAAGAGTAAAGGAAAGGAAACTGAGGCTCAAATCAATGATTGGGAGCAGAAGGAAGACATAAACATTCAACCAGAACAGAATGAAGAAACAAGAATTCACAAAAATGAGGAGAGGCTTAGGAACCCCTGGGACAACTTTAAACGATCCAACATCCGAACCATAGGGGAGCCAGAATGAGAAGAAGAAGAGCAAGAAATTGAAAATTTATTTGAAAAAAGAATGAAGGAGAACTTCCCCAATCTGGCCAAGGAAATAGACTTTCAGGAGATCCAGGAAGCTCAGAGAGTCCCAAAGAAGGTGGACCCAAGGAAGCACACACCAAGGCACATCATAATTAAGTTACTTACCCAAGATTAAAGATAAGGAGAATCTTAAAAGGAGCAAGAGAAAAGGAGACAGTTATCTACAAAGGAGTTCCCATAAGACTATCAGTTGATTTATCAAAAGAAACCTTGAAGGCAAGAAGGGGCTGGTAAGAAATATTCAAAGTCATGAAAAGCAAGGACCTACTTCCAAGATTACTCTCTCCAGCAAAGCTATCATTTGGAATGGAAGGGCAGATAATGTGCTTCCCAGATAAGGTAAAGTTAAAGGAGTTCATCATCATCAAGCCCTTATTGTATGAAATGTTAAAGGAACTTATCTAAGAAAAAGAAGATCAAAAACTATGAACAGTAAAATGGGGGAGGGGGAGAAGAATGGGGGAAAAGGTACAGGGAATAAGCAGCATAAATAGTAGGTACAAAATAGGCAGGGGGAGGTTAAGAGTAGTGTAGGAAATGGAGAAGCCAAAGAACTTATATGTATGACTCATGGACATGAACTGAGGGGGGGAATTTTGGAGGATGGGGTGGTGTAGGGTGGCGGAGATTAAAGGGGAAAAAAAAGGGACAACTGTAATAGAATAATCAATAAAATAGATATTAAAAAATAGGTATAATTTTGAGTCATTCAATAGCTGAATGGCTATTGTTGTGTTAGCTGTTCTCATATTTTTATTTGACAATCTAAGGGAAAAGAGATCAGTGCCCCTGACTAAACAGTTAGGTACTATGTTTTAAAAATTCTTGTGACACACCAGTGAGAATTGCTGCCTTAGTAAGCTTGAAAACCAAACATTTTTCCCCTTCCTTTTCATTTTTTAAAAGATTTTATTTATTTAATATTTTTTTTAGAGAGAGAGGAAGAAAGGGAGAAAAACACTGATGTATGAGAGAAACATTGATTGGTTGCCTCTTGTATATCCCCAACTGGGGACCTGGCCCACAACTGAGGCATGTGCCCTGACCGGGAATCAAACTAGCAACCTTTCAGTTTGCAGGATGATGCCCAACCCACTCTGCCACACAAGTCAGGATTCCCCTTCATTTTTAGGTCAGTGGTTGAGTTAAAAGACCATAAGGACTACTTCATACATTCCTGGTTGTTACTGCAGAAAAACAAAATTTCTCAGTATGTGGAACAGATCTACTTTTGATATGATAATAAGTGATATCACACAGTAAACTATATGTTTTGAGTGCCTACTATGCGTTGGCACTCAACTGCTAATATATTATTAACTCATGAAAAAATGATAGAATTGTAAACTTGTGAGAAACAGAATAGACACATTCATCCTACGGACATTAACAACAAGACCTGGACCACTGGGAAGGTCTTCAGTGAACACACTTTTGTGGACACACAGGTACTGGGCTGACTGCGTAGACAATGCTGGGCAGCAACAATGAAGCAGAAGATGACAACTACATTTTCTTTCAATTACACTAAACTGTAAGAAGCAGCCACGTAAGCTGTGTTTTACCTGCACAGTGGGCTGGCCAGGAGATGATCCAACTTTTTCCTGCTGTGGTTGTGTGGTTCCTAAGGACGCTGGTATAACTTTACTTCCAGAATCCTGCCCTATTAGAATTAACACATAAGACAATGTTCAACAGAAACAGTAAATCAGGCCCGTTGTATAACCAGAGACTCCAATGTTTACAGATTATGGAACATTACAAAAGGGATTTCTTTATCATGGATGCTTGATGTGAGGAAGGAGAGCAGAAAGTACATTTATCTATAAAAGCTCTAGAGGCAGAGGTAAGGGTTACTAAAGCCTATTTAGGTAGTAAGTAGAAATAAATAAATAAAAGCTGTCAATGCTGCAGTTTCAAATTACATAAGTTCTGAGGAACAGGCCTCAAGTCAGAAATCTGTCCATATTACCAACACCAAAAATACTCGCAACTTAAGAAAAGGGAGGCCCAAATAGGGGACTGACTCGGAGTGTCCATGGTTTTGTCTTTCTAGTACTTATGGAGCAATGAAGGTGCTCAAAGCTTTAAAAAAAAAGGGAAGACAAAGCCCACAGCATTTTTAGTTTCAGGGGGATTCTAAACACACATATATAAAGCAACATGAGGGCATGAAAACTGAACCAGTACCTTCAATTACAAAGTCACCTGTGCCATATAATACTAATTTTGTTTCTAGCAGCACAGTTTTTTTAATATAATTTAATGTGTCATAACAGTTAGAAGTGCTTTTTGCTTGCTTAGCAGTATATAAAATAATGCTACAGATGCAACGTGGAAAGGATACAGAAAAAAATGATCAGGGTAGATGCGAGACTGAGTCAGAAAGATGGCAGGCAGAATGACAGACGCGAGAAGAGTGTCCTTGGGTGTTGGGGGGACAGGGACAAGCTGGGGAGGCGTCTGACCTGGCAGTGCAGTGCTCAAGAGGCCAGGAACCTGCGCTGGCCTCAGGCCATCGGGGGTCTTGGAAGCAGAAATGGGCGATGTCTGATTCAAACATTTTTTCTGAGTCTGTGAAAAATATTACCAAGGTGGAAAAATTAATGTCATGACTAAAAGTTTGAATAGATTAAAATGCCAACCAAACCCATTAATGCCTACCTGACATCACCTTCAGGTTAGATGACAAGACAAAACAAATGTTTTAAAACATTATTGTCCTATCACTTTGGAAGAATTGCAAGGGCACCATGTAAGACCTGCAGGCACACTGACCTTTTTGGACACTGTTCAGTAGGGAGCTGAGTTGCACCAGATGCTCGCTTGCTCACGGGACAGTGTGCGTGGTGCTCAGACCCAAAGGCTGGGTCAGGAACTCAGTTCCCTTCCCTGGTAATTATATATCATACCTGCAAGGATTATGACCCTGACTGTCATCTCTGCGCGGTGTCTGTACCAACTCTGAGCACCTGGTGTGGGTCCAAGCACCAACCCCGACTCTACTGTCAACACTCACTGTGCCTTCTGTGTAGATGCTCTGCAGCACGTGGCAGCCCTGCTGTCTGAGCTGTCTCTAGTTTGCACCATGGCCACATCGGGTGGCATGTCACTGGGAAATGTGAACTCAACTGAATATTAGCCTAAGCAAATATTATTAGAAAAATTAATCTGATACTTAAACTGTTGTGTACTTCTTTTCTATAAATGAGGAAGATGACTTGGATGATATTTAAGGACTACCAAGTTTCTTTTCATTCTTAAAAAACCTGTTATCTCTATAATCATTTAAGGTAAGACGATAAAGGGCTTTTAAATTATTTTTCATTTTTAATCCTCTTTGTCATTACTAATTCATAATACCTTAGGTTTTCAGAGTTTTTTCCTTCAATTTTACATTTTGTATAGTAGATTTAGAGTTTAGTCTAACCTTTTCCATGGGGGCTTTAAACTTTGACTTTGATCTAAGTGAAATGTTCTTACCAACCACCCATTTGTGTGTGATACGGATCTTGGCAATGCCTGACCCACTCAGCTCATGTTAATTCTGTTCTAAACAATTAATTATGTATTTGGTTCATTTTTCTAATATAAACATGGAGAGGGATGGGACCTCACCCACCAATGACTGGAAGAGGTCTTTACAAAGGCGGAAATGGTCCCCTTGTTCATCCTTCCATCAGCAGGGAAGGTCAAACCTACACCAGTCTAGATAGACAGGCAATGACTTCTTGGTAAGAAAACCCTGAGGGGAAAATTTTCCAGTTTTCATAGCATTTGCCCTAGAATGTAACTCCACACTCTCCCACCACAGGGAATCTCTTCACACAGAGGACACCCGTGTTGTGGAGGGGCCTGGGACAAACAGTGAACACTAAGTATTTCCAGGGGATGAACACTAACGGCCACTTTGAAGAAAAAAACAAACAGATAAAAGAAAAACATAGTTCAACAGGGCAAGGCAACACATTAGGTGGGACCTGGAAATAACTAGATCAACAGATGAATAAAAAACCAGAATTATTATGTTCAAATGACTAAAGTCCTTACAGCAATGTGGCCAGTACGTGACATTTGGAATTTCTTTCAATATGCCTGGTTCACGTGAAACAGAAGATTTATCATTCTTACCACTTCAAAGCACACACTTTTTTGTTTTGATGAAATGATCTCCCACCTTATTTATCAGACATAACCTGGAATGACTCTTACTATTAAACAGACCCATGAAACAAAATCCATGCATATGTTAAATAGTAAAACTATTAAGAAAATCAAGGAAGAGCTCTCCATAAAAGCCCGGAGAAGGGTTGAGATTGGGGAGGCAGACCGAGGCAGGTGGTTTCTGGCGGTGCCGGTAATACTTTATTCCTTGAGTAGTGACATGGATGGGTATTTGCACTTGTGTTTCATGCATTTTTTTCTACGTGTGCTCTATTTCACAATACAGAAGAATAAAACGGAAAAAAACAAAAACAATCTAGCAAGTGTCTCCTAGTCCCCTTGCCAGTACGTGCGGGCATTGAGCGCTGGCGTTCGTGCGCTGTCATTCTCCAACTGCTGTCTGTGCTCCTCACTGTACCCCTTCCCCTGGGACTAGCACAATCAATCCAACCATTACACTGTGGGGGAAACAGAGGGCGGGTAGGGCCAGGGTGGCGGTAGAATTGGAATCCATTGGGGAACTTGATCTGGCCCCTACACTGGAATCGCCTTGATTCACCAGGGCTGCATGTTTGGTAAGCTTTGCTCTGTCTCCAGAAGTGCACTGGCGGCTCCCAGTCCACTGATTTTCAGGGCAGGGCTTTTGTCTGTCTGGTTCACTGCTGTATCCCCAGCATCAGAACAGGGCCTGGCACCAGAGTGAACACAGAGTAAATAGTTGTTAAATAAAAATGAGTGACGAGCATTGGAGGTCTTGCTCCCTCGCATGTGCCATCAGTTTGGCTCAATTAAACTCTTACTAATACTCTAAAAAAAAAACCAAAACAAAACAGACTTCTGGCCAAAACGGACACGTAGATAATCACTCTGCCTCCATCCACAACTACAGCAAAAATTACACTAGGCTATAAAACAAATATCATTCAGATTTGTCAGAAAATAGAACTGTATGTAAGTCCAACAACCAAGGATTTAAAGACGCCACATTCATCCAGATGGGTAGGAGGGGCAGAGACATGGAGGCATGGAGAGGTGGCAGAATGGGGGTCCCACATTCACATGGGATGGATAAAAATCGGGAGGGACACCTCGGGAGCGAATGATCCCACCCCCAACACCAGACCACCCAATCCAGGGTTCCAGCGCCAGGAAGATAAGTCCCCATAACTCGTGGCTGTAAAAACCAGTGTGGTTTGGAGTGGAGGAAGAAACTGTGGGATTCTCAAGAGACTCCTCTTAAAGGGCCCACAAGGACTTGGGACTCACGCAGACCCACCCGCTCTGGCACTCAGCACCAGGGCCACGGCTGGAAGGGCACAAGTGGCACACGGGGAGAAGAGGGGAAAGTGAAGTGACCGGCAAGGGGGTGAGTGCGGGGAGACAGCTTCCTCCCAGGCAATCTCCAGAGCCCAGGCACCTGCACGGTCCCCTCTCTGGGCCCTCCCCGCCCCCCACAGAGCCACAGAGCGGTGACATGGGCTGCCCTGCCCTGGTGACTGCCTAAGGCTCCACCCCTCACAATTGACAGGTGCCTTTTCTACACTAGGCCATGCTGCTAAGACAGGGAGTTGAAGCAGCTCTACCTAATACACAGAAACAAACAGGGCGGCTGCCAAATTGAGGAGACAAAGAAATATGGGCCAAATGAAAGAACAGAACCGAACTGCAGGAAAAGAACTAAATGAAATGGAGATAAGCAACCTATCAGGTGCAGAGTTCAAAACACTGGTTATCAGGATGCGGAAAGAAATCACTGGGTACTGCAACAGCCTGGAAAAGTCCCAGGCAGAAATGAAGGTTGCATTAAGTGAAAAAAAGAAAAATCCTCAGGGAATCAACAGTGGAGGGGATGAAGCCGAGATGCAAATCAATGGTTTGGAACATGAGGAAGAAAAAAGGATTCAACCAGAGCAGCAAGAAGAAAAAAGAATTAAAAACAAAAACAGAAACCCTTTTCACGAAGATGGCGCTGAAAGCTAAGAAGGAAGCCCCTGCCCCTCCCAAAGCCGAAGCCAAGGCAACGGCTTTGAAAGCAAAGAAAGCAGTGCTAAAAGGCATCCACAGCCACAAAAAAAAAGATCTGCACGTCTCCCACCTCCCGGAGGCCTAAGACACTGCGGCTCCAAAGGCAGCCTAAATATCCTCGGAAGAGCGCTCCCAGGAGAAACAAGCTTGACCACTATGCCATCATCAAGTTCCCCCTGACTACGGAGTCAGCCATAAAGAAGATCGAAGACAATAATACACTTGTGTTCATTGTGGATGTCAAGGCCAACAAGCACCAGATCAAACAGGCTGTGAAGAAGCTGTATGACATTCATGTGGCCAAGGTCAACACCTTGATCAGGCCTGATGGGGAGAAGAAGGCGTATGTTCGACTGGCTCCAGACTATGATGCTTTGGATGTTGCCAACAAAATTGGGATCATCTGAACTGAGTCCTGCTGGCTAATTCTAAATATAAAAATTTTATACTAAAAAAACCCCAAAACAAAACAAACAAAAAACAAAACAAAAACAAGGACAGTATAAGGAGCCTCTGAGACAGCTCCAAACATACCAACATCTGAATCATAGGGGTGCCAGAAGTAAAGAGGAAGAGCAAGAATTTGAAAGCTTATTTGAAAAAATAATGAGAGAAAACTTCCCTAATTAGATGAATTAAATAGACATGCAAGTCAAGGAAGCACAGAGAGTCCCAAACAAGATGGACCCAAAGAGGACCACACAAAGACACATCATAACTAAAATGCCAAAGGTTAAAGATAAAGAGAGAATCTTAAAAGCAGCAAAAGGAAAGCAGAGAGTTACCTACAAAGGAATTTCCATAAGACTGTCAGCTGATTTGTCAAAAGATACTTTACAGCCCTGGCTGGCGTGGCTCAGTGGACTGAGCGCCAGCCTGCGAATCAAAGGGTCACTGATTTGATTCCCAGTCAGGTCACATGCCTGGGTTGCAGGCCAGGTCTGCAGTAGGGGGCGTGCAAGAGGCAACCACACATTGATGCTTCTCTCCTTCTCTTTCTCCCTCCCTTCCCCTCTCTCTAAAAATAAATAAATAAAATCTTTTTAAAAAAAAGATACATTATAGGCTAGAAGGGACTGGCAAGTAGTATTCAAAGTGATGAAAAGCAAGGACCCACAACCTAGATTACTTTATCCAGCAAAGCTATCATTTAGAATTGAAGGGCAGATAAAGAAAGTTCTTCCCAGATAAGGTAAAGTTAAAGGAATTCATCATCACCAAGCTCTTATTATATGAAATGTTAAAGGGACTTTTCTAAAAAAAAGAAGATCAAAACTATGACCAGTTAAATGACAACAAACTCACAACTATCAACAACTGAATCTAAAAAACAAACTAAACAAACAAGCAGAACAGGAACGGAATCATAGATATAGAGATCATTT